GTCAGTCCGTGCCGCCCTTGGCCTGCTGTCCTCGCTCATGCAGCCCCACTGCCCTTTGGGCCAACCTCCTCCTTCAGGACCCTGCTGCCCAATCCAACAGGACCCAGCTGCCCAATCCAACGTCGCCTCGCTCGTTTGCAGAATGAATATTATGTCGCTATAAGGGCTTGTTTGCATCAAATATCGTGTTTTTTGCTGAAGTGCCCGGCGCGATCCCAACTATCATCATTCCAGGCGCAAAACTCTTTCACCAAAGTGACTTGCGATATAATTGTGGGCGTGGGCGGGGTCATAGAGTTTTTGCCGCTGCAAATCCGGCTTGTTGTGGGGCTATCGCTACATCATTGCCGAATGCAGAGCAAAGACATCATTAGTCAGAGTTGCCGAAGCAACTGTCATTGCCCTAGCACAATCGATGCAGCCATTGGTTTGCGCAGTGCCTTCCTAACTCTGACATTGTTGCTGGTCGGAAACGCGTGGCCGGCCAAGCCGCGCCAAAAAACCAAGGACTTATTATGTCAAAGACGGGTGCCCCTACAGTCTTTCAAGTTCTTTGGGCCCAAAAGAAACTTGCATGGCATTGCATGGTAATATTTTTCGACGCTGCTCCTGACCTCCAAGAACGGCGGGTCAATATTACTTTTGTTCAATGCGTTTGCCACTTTAGTTCCTTTTTGAAGACATCTGAAGGGAAACACGGCCATCCTGTGGTTGAGCGACTTCATGCGACTTCCATTTTTGTGGGTGCAGTGTTTCCTGGTACGAAAGCAAGCCTTCGTAGAAGGCCAGTTGAGTTGTGTTTGGCGAACGAAGTGAGGAAGTAGGGGGTCGGGGGGGGGTGGCCCGCAAACGTACCGCGTACACAACCGAAACTGAGTGGAGAAAAGGGGTCCACAGAAGGAAGGTTTTTGAGGTTTAATTGTTGTAATTTTTGAGGGGGTGGTGATGCAAGAAATGCAATTTGCATCATTTGCATCATCTCATTGGTAGGGTGTGGCTGGCGCCTTGCCAGGTATAGATACCCAGGGTCGCTACATTTCAGTTACCAGGTATAGTACTTCAAGTTCCCTTTCCGTCAACCGCTCGATAACCCAGCAATCCACAGCTTTGAAGGCTCATCTGTGCTTTGAACCTATGTAGGTGTGCAGGAGGTATAGCAACATAGCATTTATACGGACGCAGGGTAGCTACAATTCCGTGGCCAGGTATCGCACTTCAAATTCCTACCCTGGGCCCGCGCCTGGGAACAGGATTGTCGATGCCCTGGGTCCGTATAAATGCTATGTTGCTATACCTCTTACACACCTATGTAACACATGGTAACTGAATTGTAGCTACCCTGGGCAAGGCGCCAGCCGAGAAAGCGCACTCGAAAGTAGGTGATGTGTAGGGGTGCACGGAGGCAAGGTTTTGGAGGTGTGTTTTTTGATGTTAAGAAATGCAATTGTCTTGGGTTGCTTGAAGTGCTATACTTGGCAACTGAATTGTAGCTACCCTGGATATACCTAGGGCAGCCGGGAGCGCGCGCGGACCCAAGGTAGGGAAATTAAAGTGCGACAGCTGGAAACAGAACTGTAGCTACCCAGGGTCCGTATAAATGCTATGTTCTATACCGCTTACACACCTATATAAGTTCGAAGCACGAATGAGGCCACAACGTGCGTGTGTAAAGGTTATCGAGCGTTTGACGGAAAAGGAACTTGAAGTACATGGTAACTGAATTGTAGCAACCCTGGGTATCTATACCTGGCATGGCGCCAGCTGAGTAAGAAAGAGGTTCCAGGGGGCTGGCCTGAGAAAGCACGCTCGAAAGTAGGTGGTGTGTAGGGGCGCGGAAGCACGCCGTGCGCGATGCTGCAAGCTGGATTGATTGTACGGTATGAAATTGCATCCTAGATAGAATAGAACACCAACATGTATACCAGATAGAATGCCAACAATTTTGCCCGATGGATTCTTTGTTTGGGTGGCAGAACAAATAAATGTCAGAACAAGTTGGTCCCTGTGTCACAGCACATGTCGGATCTCAGAACACACGCCAACAAAGATGTCAAAACACAGTCCAGAATGTTCCCCGGTCTTTTTGAGAGATGATGATATGTCAAAGCACGAGCCCGACCTGATGTCACACCAAGCCGCGACCTTCCGCCCACTCCTTGTGTCGCTGGCGCTTGCACCCCCCAGCCGCCCCCGATTCAATCCTTGATCCTTCGGCGGAAGAAGGGTGGCAGGTCGTAGTTGCGTTGGACCTCTGGTACCGAGGGCATTTGGAACCCCACGCTGGTACCAAGAAGAGCTTCATCAAATGATCCCCTGATAACAAGATGAAGAAAGTATGCGCATGAACCCCACAAACCGGCAATGACCCTGGCACTCGCGGCGCGCCTGTATTTTTTATAGTTCCCACGAATGATAATTTTGTTCGGCAACTTGAAAACGGATCAACTGCAAGCAGCCGCGCATGACGTTACATCAATAAAACCCCCTCCAAAAAAATATGTTGCGAGCGCGCGGCTTGACTCGAACAATTTTTCCACGTCCTTTCTCAGCCGGATGAGCTTCCCCGGACATTTGTTGTGCGTGTTGGCTCAAAAATCCAGGTGGGGCAAAGATCTTTAAACAATGGCAACACTGTTTCAAGTTGACCGGTTTTGCTAACAAAAACGCAAGACAACACGCAAGGGTTTGAATTTTTTACAACCCCACTCACTTGCCAAACAAACAAGCAAAAACAGAGACGCGAAAAGAACCGGAGAGAAAACAAACAGAGATGTAGGCAATGTTGGTTCGATGAACGATTCTGTTTGGTCCTCGGTTTTTTTGCCAGTCCTTGAGAGGTCCAATCACCGGTTTGACTTTGCAGGGGAATTTTTGGTGGCAGGTGACTGTGCACAATGCGTCGATTCGTGCCGTTGCCACCAGGTCACTTTAGCATTCATGAAGTTGAGACAACTCACATTGTTTATCATGGTTTCATTTTTAATAAGATCCGTTGTTTGCGGCAGGCCGGCGGGACATCAGATCAAAGGGGTCGTCCAATGCCCGGGCAAGGCATCCAACACGGATTTGCGTTTGTTGTCAGGTTACATTTAATGTGGCAGGATGATGGGTGCCAAGCAGCCCCCCCAATACAAAATGCAAACCATCCCGTCCAAGAGTGAGTCGGCACACTGCAACTTGGTTTGGAAAAATGGACGGTCAAACGGGTTTGTGGCCGGGTGTCACTTTCTGTTGGTTTTTGAGGACATTGGTTCCGATACGACGAGTTCAGACGTGGACGGGTACTGGCCTTAAAGCTGCAGCTGTGCAAGTGAGACACATTGTTCACGCAGTGGGCAGGTGCCAACGATCAACACTGGCAACCGACCACGAACCTGCAACCGGCAAAGTTTCGGATGCAGAGCCCCGCCCTGAATCAGCAATGTGTTTGCAGTTTTTGTATTTGGTGCGTTGGGTCGGTTTCTGAAGACAATGCTGCCAGGTATGAAATCTTCGTATCAGAAGGTGCGCGAATGCCAGATATTCCTCCTGCAGACAAATTTGTAAGCATGAACCTTAGATATTGCGGCCCTTTTGGCAGGTCTAAAATTGAAAACAATTACGGATGATACATGCTCACCATCCGCGTGAACCCTAAGGTTGCCGCCCAGCCCCGGGTGGCGTTTATTTAATATTGCAAAGAGGTGCTCGGCAGGAACTGCAGGTGGCACTGGGTATATATCTCGTGTTTCGCACGCTTGCATCGGCTCACATGTAGTCATATAGTTTTTTTTCCAGTCAACAGCCCCACGGATGTGACTTGGGTTTGGGCTGGTGTGTGTTTTCTTCTTATATAGTAGGTGTGGGCAGGTGGGCACTGAGTGAGCATGTGCCCGTGAAGCCTCTCAGGAGCCGCGCCGGTGCCTGGATGTCCAGGGGACCTTGGAAGAACTTGAAGAGGCGATTGGATGTTTTCATGGGAGGGCCCCCCAAAATCTAATAATAAGGTCTTGCGGTTTGTGTGTTCAATGGTTACAGAGAGAGGCACCCCATCAGTCAGCTTTACTTGCTTGTCGCTTCTTGCATCCCCTTTAAGTTTCTCCCTTGTGCGTGTGCCACACATGCTACGCACCGTTACGAGGAAGTTCCTGAAGTAGACGAAGATGGACCGGAAGAGGGGCCCTGGAGCTCTGCTAAGCCTGGATGGCGACCGATTGCCGCAGGCCACTCGAAGTCATACTTCGCACCGCAATGATAGGGAACACCTTGAAGATTGACGTGGCCTGCACTGGCATTTGTCGGCCAAACCGCAATGAGATATGAGATGGTACGAGTAGTGAGCAGGAAGTTGTGCACAGACAGGTTCTTGTAGAGTGAGACGGTACAAGCGTAGTAGGGTGTGGCATAGCAAAGAAATGCAAAGAAGACCTGCAGCGACAGGCACTCGGCCAAGTCGACAACGACCAGTTGCACCCCATGGCAGGGTGAGAGGCCGACAGATGAGCATTTTCTAGATCATTACTATATACATTCCTATACAGAGCTACACGTGCACCAACCTCTTCTGACAGAAGTTCCCTCATTCATTACTGAGTTGTATTTACATTTGGGGAAGGACACGCACTTAAAGTCTCGTGTACAAGTTTACAATCGTTTTTGTTTTTTGGGTGATGTTATTGATTGTTATTGTGCACCTGCCCCTGCATCCATTTGTGTGAGAAAAGATGAATTGACTGAGGGTGGCCCCTCTTGCTTCCATGAAAGTTATTATATAATGGGAGAAACCACACTTCCCGGGAATTTCGGTGATGTGTATTGATTCAAGGCGCCCACTGATTCCTAAGAATCTTCGAGCCCATGGTCTTATAACATCGCCCATACAATGTAGACGAAAAACATAAACACAAATCAGCTGGATTAGACTTCGCCCTGAAGACTTGTAACATGAATAATTGAGCATACCTTTCTAACATTGCGCATCATCCTTTCTTATCCCTTCTAGAATTAGATGTATCAGGAACATGTCAAAAACCTGCAGGTCTGAACAGTTGGACTGGCAGGGTTGGCAAGTCAAGCGAGCTCGCATTTCTATTTTTATAGTTGCATGCATACAGACAGACTTATCATGCGGGAGCCTGTTTCGAGCATCTGCAGGCGAGTTTGGAAATACAGCATGGCCATATGGTCCACGGAGAGTGTCATTGGAGCGGCCTCATTCAGCGCAGTATGCGAAAGAGGTCCCGCACCAGAATTCACACCCAAACCAGCGGCCATCGTCAGCAAGGGCTGCACTAACAACCGCCTACAGGCCTGGATCTGCCAGGGCGACCCCTCTCCGGCCTTCGTCTGCGGCATCTTCTGTCCGATCGGGATCAACCCGACCAGCATCAGCACAGCCCGATCCTGCGCAGCCTGCATCAGCACGGCCAGCGTCAGCACGGCCAGCCTCAGCACGGCCAGCTTCAGCACGGCCAGCCTCAGCACGGCCAGCCAGACCAGCCTCAGCCAGACCCGCCTCAGCACGACCAGCTTCAGCACGACGAGCAGCCTCAGCACGGAGACCAGCCTCTGCACGACCAGCATCAACACCCCCTGGCCATGTGAAGCAAAGGCCTGCACAAAGGCCTGCTTCTGCCCCTCCAATGCATGCCCCACTCTACTCTCAGGAGGCCCGCAGACCACAATCAGCGCCTGCCTTCAGAGAGAGGCAGTCACAGGGTTTCAGCCAGATGCTGTCAACAGAATACAGCAAAGCCATGGGCAGCGTACTGTTTCAGCAACAGGACTTTTTGGATAAACGAGCAGCTGACACTTCAAAAAGTGCACACTCACAGTGTCGGACAACACTGATGCACAACTGGCTCATCGCCTACCAAAAGAGCCGGCTCCGTGCACGCATGGCATGCCGACCACTTTTTGGTGAAGGTGGGACTTGACGTTCCGTGTTGCACGCTTTCATTCATTTGTAGCAGTGTGCTCGCACGGGCCAAATCAACAGTATGCTGGTTGTGGCATGTTGTGGCTTCTCTGGCTTTGGATTTGGACGGCTCTCCAACAACTTGTGGCTGACCAAAGTTTGGAAAACCCTGGACCGTATGGAATCACCAAAAGCCGTGGCTGTGGAAGACAGGTTGTACAAGTCAGGTCTGTGCAAATCCGGGCATCCTGGATGAGAGTGTCGATACATGGACTCTCAAACACCCGCTTTTGAGCAGGTCAACATGAAACCTGTGCGGTTTTTACTCTGAATGAATGCTTGAACTGATCCTTTTTGGGCTGTTGCCTTCGATTTTCCGCAGGTAGCGACGCCAAATTCACCTTCCCAAAGACTTATGCACCGGCGCCACCACCTTTGACAAAACGAAAAGAGCGAAAAGAACGGGACTTGGAAGAGGAGATTCGCCAGATTGAGATAGCTCTTGGAGGCATTGGCCTTGCGTTGAAAGTCATATCAACGCTAAGTATATTTATACTTAATTATCAAAACACACGTTTATAGAGGCCTAGACCCAGACTTGTCTATCATTGGATTCATTACCCCGCAAAGATGTGAACCAATCCGTTTTGTTTTCCAACTCTTTTCCCTGTATAGCTGAGTGTGCCTTTGCAGGCCCAGTGACCCGTGAAGCTTCGAAGGCTTCTGCGTGCGCCGAAGATGAGGATGTGAGGTTGGTTATCGCTGATGTAATGTTTTGTTACGGTATTAGGGATGCATTCAGTCCATCCCAGACTTGGTTGCTTACTTTGTGTAGATGTAGATGCTGGTCCCTTGCCAGGCCCGTTGATACGGCAAAATCTGCGGAAACAACTGCGGTGGTGAATGCCCTGGCTACCCAAGCACTTTTGTGACGGGTTTGCTTCGTATTCGAAAACATATCGAGGGAAGGCGTGGCTCTCTCCTTCTCCCGATTGACAAGGGTGTGGGGCTTAGCTGGAGAGTGGGTGATTTTCACGCATCAATCAGAGGTGCAACCAGGTCGTTTCGACAGCTTCATGTTCCAACTTGTCCGCTGTGGTCAGGCGGTGGTCTTGACCTTACGGGCTTGGCTCTCACTCGATGCGTTGTGAGAGTTAAACAGTTTGAACAAACATTATGTATGTTAAACTCATTTGGCAGAGAGTTCAGTTCCTAGTTTTGCAAGGCACGATTGGCAAGAAAATGTCCTTAGCCTCTCAATCCGAGCCAAAGGAGAGATGCCCAGAGATGGTTTATCCATGTTTATCCACAGCACTTTCTGAGCAATGATTGAAACTGTCACACTTTGCCTCGCAAACAGGTGCAGCCTGTGCGAACGCTTCCATTTGACACCCCTCGTGGCGCTATGACACCTGGTGCCATTTTACAGTTCTTCCATGCTCCTGCCAGAATCAATGCACATGAGAAGGATGTGGGAGAAACAGCAGACACACAACATGATCCCCATGTTCCAGAGGTGCCTCCACGGTTTTCAACCAAATGTCGATGAGAGAGCCCTCAGTCGGAGGAGGCATGTTCTGGTGCTAGGATGCGAAAAAAGTGGCCAATCAGTGTCACCTATCTATCTATAGCCTCCATCTATAGTCTCTATCTCTATCTCTATATCTACCTATATCATCCTATATCTATATCTATACCTATACCTATCTATCTATCGACCGATCTATCTATATCTATCTATGTGTCTGTCTGTTTGTCTATCTATCTATCTATCTATCTGTCTATCTAAAGTTCCTATCTCTATCTTTATCTCTATGTCTACCTGTATTTATATCTATCTATATCTATACCTATACCTATACCTATACCTATACCTATACCTACCTATCTATCTATCTATCTACCTACCTATCTATCTATCTATCTACCTGTCTGGCTGTCTATCTCTCTATCTATCTATCTATCTATTTGTCTACCTATCTATATCTATCTCCATCTACCCAGCTACCCTGAGAGGCACTGAAGGAACTTCAGTGTCTGGCGACTTGTTTGCACCAAAATGACGGCCCAGTCGCAGTTGGACGTTGAAACGTGCCTGACAAGACGAGTTTGAGGCCTGGATTTCTCTGAAGCCAGCGATTTCCTGCCGACAGTTGGCATGATGCCCAAGAAAGAGATGCTCCACAAGGTGGCCACATTTAGTTTCACCTAGCTTACTTAGAGGCCTCGTCAAGAAGAGTCGCGGGATGTCCAGGGATAATCTCCGCTCATGCATGCTCATACTCATCCCGTGCCCCGGAGCCCGTTAGTATCAGAAAAATTCTCGAGTCTTCTGACGTGGATTCGCCTGCATATGGGCTGGAGTGCGGCTGGGTCAGGTGTTTCACAGGCTTGCAGACGATGGGGAGGCGCGATTGCACAGACAAGCTTCGTATGAATGGCGTGACGATTCCTTTAAACTTTAATAAGTGTCGAGCTTGGCCTTTTAGCTTCAGAGAGCTGAGTGCAGTGCCTTGCTGAAATCCAGGTGCATAAAGATGTTTTGTCGCAGTCTTTGGAGCTTCTAGGCGCGGGAGTTCAACCGAGCGGTCAAACATGGCCTGAAATGGCCTGAAGATGTAGGGAATTGTAATGTAATGATACTATTTTATTCGTTTCATTGCAAGTTTGTACGTTTTGGACCTTAAAGAGCCGAAGCATTGGCGTGACTCATTGTGACGCTGTGCAGGTTCAGGTGTTCAGACAACAAATGCTTAATCTCGATTGAGCCAGCAGGGTGCTATATGAAAAACAGATTCTAGATATTTGGACTACTAGGAACATGCATCGCTACTAGGAACAAGTGCATTGCTACTAGTAGCTGGAAGCTACTAGTATCACCGGTAAGGCTGCTAGAAACAAGGGCACTATATGAAACTACAGTTTCACCTGGCCGCGCCTGAGGCATTCGTCACATCAAGCAGCCTTGGATTGAAAAGATCCTGTTGTCGGTCACCAGGCGCCATCCCAAAAGAATCCATCAAGCGCCATCCGAGAGCCGAGATCCCCAATCCCAGAGATCCGAAACGGCCGGGTCACTCGGGTTGGATGTTTTTCACAAGGTATACTACGCTGAGCTTGGATGAATACATGAATTTTGCACCGGTCTTAGACTCGTGGCTCTCAAGGACCCTGTTTGGTGTCGAGGTTCAACGGCTGAAAGTGAGTCAAGCTGAGGTCCATGCATATATGGATTTGCAGAGCAAAGAGTATGAGAGTGCCTTCTATCAGCTGGATAAGGATGGTTCTGGAACCATCGAGGCCAATCACTGGCATGTCCAATTGGCCGGCACATCGGCTGGTGCACCTCAGGCTGGCGAGTTGTCCGAGCTTCTCTTGAGCATCGGTATAACTCCAATGGATCACGCAGCTCGGCTTGCAACGCCCGCGGGCCGCTGCTTGGCGAGCGCGGCCCAGCGCTTGCGTGAGCCGCGAGCCCAGCCCAGGTGATCAACGAGCTCAGTGAGGAGTTTGATGTGGATCATTCGGGCGTCCCCGCCTTGATGACCATGGCTCAAAAAATTGGAAAGATCATGAAAGATCAACAAAAACTCACAGTATCTTACATGACGATGATATGGCGGAAAATGGGCAGCAGTGTCGTTCGCTTCAGGACATGAACCTAGAGGAGTTCTGTAGGCTCCTGGCAGTGATCAACGAAAGAGAGGGCTTCAGCAAGGTTGAGTATGACCGCGCCATCCTGGCACTGTTTGGTAGTACTGGGATGGGAACTCGCCGGGGGCTATGTCATGTGACATACGAGTTATATATGTAGTTTTTATTGAAGCCTTGCAAGGCACAGTCAGGATCTAGTTTCTTACGGCGATTGCTCCCATAAGCCTCCAAAGTTCAGATTCAAGTGCCTTGAGCATGTGGCGATTCAAGCAACATGGTACAAAAGTGCAAGTTAGGTTGTTCTTTGGATGAATGTGGCAATCCCACAGCTTTGACATTACCGCAGCAGATGCCAGATGTGCCCTTAGCACAGGTCTAGAGTCTAGAGATCTCTGAGAAGTCTAGCCGGGTTAGTGGTTGCTTTGCACAATCAGTTCGATCGTTCAGTGTGGAGCCATGGTGCTACACAGAGCCTGAGCGATGCACATGACGCGCATGGCGTTAGCGAGATGAAGAACCAAGACAGTGCATGATCAGTGCATGATGGAGACTGAATGGAAGGCCAAGACTGGCAAAGTTTCACTCCTCGCGCGCTCTGGGGCAACTGTCAGACTTGCCTACAACATCAGCAGATCTGTCAAGAAGCTCGAGCCTTGGCCAACATAGCCGCTCACGCAACTCAAACGAACTATGCAACCAAATTCGGAAAGCGTGAAAAATGGACGGAGAATAGCCATATTGCGACGATTTTCTACCTTGGTCTTCGGTTGGTGACCCTGTCGCATGCTAAGGAGCACGAGCTTGCCTCACGGACAGACTTGGACAAGGAAATTGTTGAAAGACGCTGGAATGAATTGCACCGGAAAAATGCCAAGATGGTTCATCAACATATTTTGAAGTACCGCGGCTTACTCACAAAATTTGGCGACTTCCCTGCACTAGAAGCTTGTTTATGCGTGCCATGTGCAAGTCCCCACGGAGAGGAGAGATTAGTAACTGCACTTGCTTGCCCCCTTTCCACAGAACGGGTGTTAGATGGTGTTAGTACCTTTGCCAAGCTTTCATGGCTTAGCGATGTGATGGCTGACAACTTGACGACGACCCCGACAGGCCAGGCAGCATCCACCAAAGCTGGGAGCTTGCCAGCGCCATGGGTCGAAGAGCTTCGAGGCTTGCAGGACGAGCTCCCAATCTCCAACTTTCAGGACGTTTCTTAGGCAGTTTGGGGGAGGGGAAAACGAGCATTTGAGTCGATCCTGCGAGAATTCCTGCGGTCAGTTTGTTGCTTCTTCACCATTTCTCGCAGCTTCGAGTTGTGCCTTTTCTGGCTTCTTGTTGGGAGTGAAGGTGCGCATCAGACAGGTCCTATCTTTCCTGTGATCGGCATTGCCTGACAGCCAGGATGTTGTGCGCACAATCAAAGCTGATTTGGGGAGACCGCTGGAGGACATTTTCCGCGACTTTGGGCAGCGGCCAATTGCCTCAGCAAGTGTCGGTCAGGACGAAGAGGGCAGGGAATTGGGGAGATGTCATTAATGCGATGAGCAGAGTACTGTGAACCATGTAGTTGACCCATGTCGAAGCTCTTCAGCACGTGCAAACATGGTGGAAGTAAGTCGAGATAGACTTGTGCAAAAACTAATCTTCTACTCGTACCAGTTGCAGGCACACCTTGCATGGCTGCGGAAGACTGGCCAGAAGGCGCAAGTGACTATTCCTGCCAGTGGACTGCTCACAGTAGCATTTGTGGACCACGGACCCCTTGATATTCGTTTATGTTTAATTTCTCGCCTGCTCAAGAAGGGTTGTGAGTAAAGTGACTTGTTCACAGCAGTGTTCATTTGAATGATTCTGGGTGCAGCGCACGGCTCGCCTACTGGATTGATCCACAGCATTCGCGTGCGACAGGTTTGCGTCAAGGTGCAGCACCATGGAGTTGGTAGCTTGATGAAAACTGACCTTGCCACCATTGAGTTTTGCGCAAGACAGATGCTAAAGCGACACCCAGATGCTCCAGATTTTACTGACGCCTTGCAGCAACTGGCATGCTGATGCTAATAAGATCTATAAACTATATAAGAATAAAGGCAACTCCGTGAAATTTGGACGCCTTCGGTGAATCTGTCATTCCACATGTTGGTTCGAGAGTGTGCTCAGGATGTTATCCGAGAATGGCGGCGTGCATCACGGGAGGAGGTGGATTTTCTACTGGAGGCTAAGAATGCTTTGCAAGCGCTAAATGCCTTGCGCCGTCACAACGTAGATGTGACTTGCCCAGAGCCAATTCAAAGTTGCTGCTCACAGCGGGTTTTAACAATGGTCTTCATTGAGGGATGGAAGATCACAGACCTTGATCGCATGCCATATGGAGCAGACCGTGAGACACTAGCACGAGATTTGGTCCATGCCTTTGCCTTGCTGGTGTTTCAAGAGGGCCTGATTCATGGAGACCCACATCCAGGCATTTCCACTGCTCTGTGCAGTACTTCTGCCAGTTTTCAATGCCGTACCCTTGTCAGCCGTTTCAAATTGTGTGCCAGGCAATGTATTCGTGGAGCCTGTTCCAGGCAGCTCTAATGGAACAAAGGTTCGGCCTGTTTTGCTGGATTGGGGATTTCTGGCTACAGTTAATATGTTTGGGTGATGTGGTGTGTGTTGCAGTGGGCAGATTGCTTTGCTTGGGTGCTTGACACGTGCTATCACGTGTTCCAAGGAATTGTCAAGCACATCGATCAAGATGAGCGCTATGCGGCAGCCAAATGGATTGTCAGCACTTTGTCGCAAGATCGTCAGCTCTACGTCTCGAGCTTGCTGGAGCTCGGCTTTGAGTTCGACGCGGATCCTGACATGACAGAATTTGCGACCTTTATTGAAGCTTCCATGAGCCAATGTGCCTTTATGTTTCGAGATTCTATCCCAAGCAGCTCGCAGATGAACTTCCTTCAGCAGATGCAAGAGCACCAAGAACGTGAAGAGAATCAAGAGACCAAAGTGGGCAAAGAGCAAAGCAGACTAGTTGGGAAGATTCCTGGAGTTGTGTTGTTTTTTCTTCGTGGCCTTGAGATGCTCCAGAACATTTGTGGCATGTTGGAGGCGTTTGGCGGGCAGCATGTGAGGATAGAGATATGCAGAGCTGCATGGTATTCAGATGTGTTTATAGGAGTCGGACAAAGTTGAAAAAAGTGCTATATACTGTAAGATTCTTGGTGGAGACCCTCCTGGTGTGTGAACATGTTGCCGTCTTTCATGGGCCTTTCAACTTGTATGGGATTCTGTTCAAGCCCGTAAGACTACAATATGAGTTGCCATTTGTGTGCGAACGATGTGTCTTCGGCATTTTGCAGACTTTGTTTGAATCAGATGTCCATCGATCTTTCTTTTTCTATTCCTGCAAGGTGACAGTGCCATTTGCCAGTATCATGCTGGAGAACTGCATGCCACTCCTGGTCAGCAGAGGCTTGTGGGACCCAGCAGCTGCACTTCCTGGACCGCCAGGCCCAGCTTCTGTCGCTTGCATAGGGACCGACCTACTACTTTTATCCACTTTGATACCTAATTATATATATATAATCCTAATTGTTTACAGTTTGCCCATTTGTTCCTCATACTGTTTGAATGGGTGACCTTGGATGACTTGACACACTCCCGCTTGGCCACTTCAGGACAAAGTGTTGTGGAACAGAAGGTCCGTGCCAAGCTTCATGAATTGGACAGCATGGGATTGGTGCTGGGAGCTCAGGTGGGTTTTCACGCAGCACGACATGTGTGGGAGATACACTGGGAGTGTCAACAAATTGTGGAGCATCTCCAAGTACCACTCATGTGATATGCGCAAGAGAGACCTACTGTGCAAGGTAGACTCCAAGCAGTGCCTACTATATACTCGTATGTGGGAAAAACATGGAAAAACACTTGTGTTGCATGGGGAGTTGCCGTGATTTTTTTTGATGCTGGTATGATGTGGCTGTGGCATGCATACGTTCCGGTGTGAGCTGCTTGGAGCCTTGTGATGTCCATTTTGCGCTAGGTGGCTGCTTGGGATCGTCGCTTGGGATCTCGTGGTGACTTCCTTTGCAATGTGGCCTGTGGTCGGATTGGGCCAGCTCAGGGCATACCAATCTCAGACCAAACAGCTACTTGGAAACTCAAGAGGGCTGTTCTGCTTCGCATGATTGAGAGAGATCTTTCATAAGTACAATTCGAGTGAGGTGTTGCTGAGATGTTTTGAAAGGTGATGCCCTTGATGAGCCTGAGTGCTGGGCCGTTGCTGCACTGCCTTTTGCGAGCGATCTCCCAGCCAACTGTGCAAGGCCTCTTTTTCTTTCTTTGGAAGCATCGAGCGGCCTTGACGGCTTTTGTCCGTACTTCGAGGCAAGCAAATGTCACTGGAGACTTCTTTGGGGGAGATATGGCCCGATTTCTTCCAGAAGGGGAAGAATGCTTCGATTGGTGACGTGTTGCAACACAAGGCAAGCACAGCAACCCTACAAAAGTATTGTCTTAACAAGCAGCCTCAGTGCAAGGCACCTGGATATGAACGGAATTTTGCATACATATTTCTGCGGAGATTCTTGAAGAAGATTCTGGGGATCGTAGCAAGCAAGAAGCATGGGAAGCGTATGCCCTCAGCGACCACATTTCTTACCCTGAAACGGGCTGTGCAGGCTGGATTGGCAAAGCCATTCCCCAGAGCCTTCGCATGCACAAGCTATCAAGCAAGCAATGTTTGAACTTTGCGCATGAAGGGCAATGAACCAGTCCCAAAGTGAGAAACAGAATAACAAGCGGAGAAGTTATGAGTTGTGCCAGTGACTGCTAGTGGGCCCATGCAGTAGAATGGCCAGACCAGGTGAGATGACCATCAAGGGATTTTGCAACGAGACGCGATTGGAGGAACATATTGCAGCTTCTCCTTCATGCCTAGAAGAAGGTCTTTGTCCTGCTGCCGGTCAGCAGAAATGGGTAATCAAGGGCTCGGTGTTTCCGCTTGGTGGTTGCAACGTGTGCCACTGCTTCAAAATCACAAACCAGCGACTTGAAAAAGTGTGCAGTGTGCATTTCGGATGCTGACCGCTGACCTCAAGGCTAGCGGCTAGAATTGGTTGACCGAACTGTTTTGTTCCAGGGCGAACTGCTTTGTGCTTTTACTTTTCATGTCGTCATTGTCACGTCTTATTTGACCAAGCTCCTCGGGTGCCAAGCTTGAGGTTTGGGGTGAACTCCTTGCAGCGCTACTGAAGCGACTGGTTGGGCGCAAGACTGCGCAGGAAGCCATCTCTCAGATGCTGGAGCAGCTTTGGCACTGATCATTTCTGAGAGCAAATCCGTATTAAAATATGTTTTACAATGCTCAAACGGGATCTTTGCATAAGAGCCAGGTGGCATATCACGCCAGGTGTGGCAGACTTGATAGCTCTTGATAGTGAGGCCAGTGGCTCCAGATGTGACCTATCGGGCAAATCACACCGCGCTCGCCGGGCGGCGGCCACAGGACGTGGTCTTGGATTCTCCCTCAGATTCCAGATGATTCAAGACCTTGAGATATAGAGATGATTCAATAGAGATTCAGTATCTCAAAATAATTCAAGAAACAAATGTTACAATGTTGATCAATGTTGAGAACATTGTTTTGTGTCGGCCATGTCAATTGTCTTTCGATACGACATGTCCGAACTCGCTTTTTGGCAGGAACGCGTAACAATGCAAAGCATCTATGAATGGTTGGAAGAGAAAGTTGAAAGCTCCCGGCCTGATATGCATTTATCTTTCTAATTAGATGAAGTCCTGAGCACTTGCACGCAGATGTTAGCACTTGGTGTCCTTTGGAGCAACTGTTGAGATTCTGTTTGAGGTCTTGATTCGATGACACAAAGCAGCAACGCGAATCGGCGTCGGTGGCTCTCAGAAACTGAGCTCGCAGCCACTTGGACCAGTGAAAGGTTGTCGGCCCCTCACTGAAGACTAGCATTCTTCGGTCGGGCATTCGACAAATCTCGACCCAGGTTGAAAAGCCTTGGATTGCTGATCCATTGATTGTAAATCGACAAGTGGCTCGACTCGACAGCTCCAAAGCTCTAGCGGTTGAACAGGGTCGAGATTTATGAAGAAGGCTTGCAGGCTTGCTCTTGTTCTTCTGGGTCTCGCATTGTCCCAGCATTGAATTGGAGTAAATTTGTGCATATCTTTGGCCACAGGTGGCAGGCCATAGCCTAGAAACGGTTCTTATGCGAACTTCCAAACAATTCCCGAGACGGCAAGATATAGACTCATGAAACGGTAGGGGAAGAGGTGGAGGAGGTCCGTGGAGGAGGTCCCGGAGTAATTAGTTGGAACACCGCCCATGACGGGCCGTGGTGTTTCAGGCATGTCATCAAAATTGTGTCATAAACATGGGTTCTGGGGGGTGGGCGGGGTGGGGCTGGGATAATCACGTCCGTTGTGGAGGCAGGATATGTTCTTAATCACGGTGCGTTCCCCGGAAAAGTACTTACAAAAGGGTCCTTCAATGTCATTCAACTTTTCTAGTTGTCTCGTGAAATGTGTTTTTTGTTCTCCTGCGTATGTGTCAGGGGATGTGCCTTGTTTCTTCATGGCTAGAATTGAAACGATTCGTGGGACACCACTTTCCCGTCAGTGTGAAGGTCAAAGGTCACAAAAGTTTGACCCAGCATTGAAAGACATAATTTTTCAGTTTGTTTTGCAACAGTCTGTGATGCCTGCAACTCCAAAAGAGTTCTACTCAGCTTTGAGAACATTGATGAAAGCACACGTAGCCTGAAAGCAGAAGTTTGAAAGGAGCTTGTGGGCTAATAGACCCCAGATAAACAATGGATTACATAACCAACCCTAAGAACTTGAGTTGTGGGCAACTTCATTTGAATGTTGAAGTGTCAAGTCTACTGGGAAGTGCACAGGAAATTTATTTCCCGATGTCATTATGCCATTCAACCCTTGAAAACGCTGAACAAATCTTCCCCAAGCTAATTACGTGCATCCCAATCATGGTGGTGATCAGAATTGTCATTTTCGCACCACAGCCCGGTATGGGTGGTGGACCTAGTTGGTGAGAGTTTGGCTCCATGAACGGCAGAAACAACAGTTTCTTCATTTCTGCAGGTTCGGAATGGATGTGTCCTTGTAGGGTTCTTCTCATGGTCTCATGGGATAGAGTACGGTAAACATGCTCAACCTTGTCCAGCCTTCGGTGTTGAAAGTTGAAACCTAGCACCAAGGCGCTCATGGTTGGTCATGGCTGCCTTGCTGGTCGTGGGTTGCGAGCTTCTGCCAAAACCCTATGCCGGGTGTTCCTCAAAGCTCTTGGCAAAATGTTTGGATTGTTTGGGCTTTGCAGGGTACAGTGTGGTTCACTTGTTGCAGGATGTTGCAGGGCTTTGCCTGGACGCACTGTGTTGGACGAGAATGTAGGGCGACAAGTCTCGCTTTTTCAATACTTGATTCGCTTTAGTGGTGCTGCCCCTTCGCTGCTTTTGGCACAATCCAGGTTCACTTCAGGACTTGTGCCCGCAGAAATGCTTGAAAAAAGCTTGGAGCTTGGCAAAGAGCTCAAGTTCCAAACCCTGCACCTCGCAGCAGAATCTTAGCATCATGTCCATTGGGCAATTTTTTCTCCACTCAGAGCGATGGCTCTATTCCGGAACCGGCATCGGAACCGGCCTTTCAGGCAGCAGTGGTGGGATTCTTTGGGAGCTCGACAGCGTGCGGTGGGTGGCTGGCAGCTCTTTCCCTTCAAGACCAAGACATCGGAGGTGCAAGGTTATGGCTTTGCCGACGGCGTCACAGGCCGATCCCCACAGCACCTGGTTTCAGCGTGGACCTTTTCTTGATGCCCAGATTGCCCATCAGTAGGGGCTAGTTAATTATACAAGTAAGGGCTACACAACCCACTAGGTAACCTATGGTAACCTGCTACTAGCGAACAGGCGCAGGATAGCTCACGCTTCTTCAAGGAAGCTTCCTTGAAGAAGCGCTTAAAGATCCATTTCTTAAACAAAAAACTTGGCGCCTTTTTTTGGGGGACCAGTGAAGGAACTACACATGTAATTATATATATAGATACCATCGGACATCATCAGTGAGAATCATGAGACCAACAACGATCGATTGACCACGTGCCACTCATTAAGCATTGACAAAGTATGAGAAATTATGACAAGATGGGAGACAGCTGCAACAACTAGAGGCATTATAAGGCAATGCGTGCTGTGCAGGCTCCATAGTTCTGCGGCTCCCCGAAGTCACGATGGCCATCCTCCTTTCGTCATGCTCGCCGGAGACGCGGCACGTCGGTCGGAGCCTGTTGGATGCCATTTGCACAGAGCTGGGCTACGAGGTGCTCAAGAGCCGCAGTCGTGGCTTGTATAGTCGTGGCTTTTCGAGAAAATCCAACAGCCAGAGTATCAACTTTTTTATCAACCACTGTGCTTCCAGAGGCTTGAAAGGTTGCAACTGTTTAGGCCGTGTGTGATTTTCTTTTTGCTTTTTATTGTTTTCCCGCCTTCCCATTTTCTACGTGCCATCCGTCTCCGTTCCGAACCGCAGCTTTTGCAGGCGGCATGGCCATCTGAACCTCCTCCACTACCGAAACGCGCGGGCGGCGCGGCACCGAGTGCCACACCGGTGCGGGAGCCGATGCTTCGAGCTGAAGGTGGCAGGCCGGCCATTGGGCAAGAGATGCCGAAGCTGGTGGAACCATGCCAGCAGAGGTCGAAGAACCCAAGACACAACAACATGAATGATTGTGTGAATGCAGGGCAAGGAACCTAATAGTGATGGCCTCCAACTTTCTTTTCACTGAAAGCAACCTAATCCCATACGTACCCAGTATGGTCCTAGTTATTGTCCTTTAAGGTCACTTAGCCTCTCTTGGTGTGAAGCCCAAACCCACTCCAGATGGCTTGTCATTCGCTTTCACAGGCGAGCTGATGACTTGCAGCAGGAGCTCACTAAGGCTGGGGTGCAGAGGATCTGATGTTGCAATCCTTGGTGCAGAGGATCTGGCAGCTGGAGCTTTTGGTGTTAAGATGAGTTGATCGATTTCGTCATGGCAGGTTGAGGCCAAAGTGACCAAGCTGTCAGAAGTTCTAGACATGCTTCTCCCGGGTGCGAGTGCTGCGATTTGTGGAGCTTCTCGACTGGCAATGCGTCAAAAAAATGTTGTAATGAGCATGAGCAGCATGGTGCTCATCACATCAACAGATGCCAACAATTGAAAGGTGTTCTCTCCTTGTAAGTGGGTGTCTGAGGCACCCAACATTCCAAGCATGGCCGGCTTTTGGCTGAGCACGGGCCCTCAACAAAGTGGCAGGGGGCAGGGATGTGAGATGGTTTCATTGGGGATCTGTTGATTGAATGCGACCATCCACAGCAGTCCCATCAAAAAACAGTGTGCAGAAAACTTGATGGCTGATCTACTGACTTCATTTGGCCAATTCTGGAAAAGCATAGGAGGCAGACTTTGAAGTCCAAGCCTTGACCACTTTAACATACTTTTATGCGTTTGACGATCCTTGCAGTGTCAGAGGCGATGAAACGGAGGGCTTGGAGTCCTTGTTGGAAGCTTTGCAGGCAAAGCCAAGCTCAGTGCGTTTGATGCACTTCGCGTCAATGTGGACAAATGGCAGTGGACTGGACCTGCGAACTCAAGTGGGCAACACCTGACTACTCATCAAATGTTGGATTGTACTTCATAAATGTCGGGCTTTTGCGTTTGGCATTGCGTTAGCCTCTCTATTTTTTTGTGGTTTGGTAGTATGTCTCATGTTTGGCAGAACTATATATATATAATATATTTTCTAATTTGGCTAGAGCCATTTCATATTGTGGCAGAACTATTTATATAAATATATAAATATAGAACCATTATACATATTTGGGAAAATCATAGAAAATCATTATTGGCAAGCCTTATCATAAAAGGCAATATCGGATAGAGTGGATGTCATGTTTTATTTGTCGCTGATTTTGCCCGAAGGTTCCTGCTATGATGCGATCGATGGCCTCCGCAGCGCGCCGAACGCTGCAAATCGAATCCAAGCAAGCACGGTGGGATCGAGGAGTAACCAAAACCAAACATAACCCGCTGGATAAGAGTTTGTTGCTGAACTGATTTGCAAGACCCACCCTAACTTCATTAGCGCGCCAGATTGGTTGCGCGCCTAAGGACATTGATGGAAACGAGGTGCAAATCTGCTCTACGACATCTATGCTCAGCCGCCAACTGGAGGAGGGAGAGATTGCTCTCTCTCGAGCAATCTGCTGAACGAGATGACTGTGAAATCTTTGCATCAGGAGACGACGACCAGATTTCAAGTTGGCCATTCCTTCAGCGGAGAGCAGGCACTAGGCGGCTCGTTCACCGCGACAGCATCTTGGATAGAGGCAAGGCTTGCTCAATGTTTCAAAGGTACACACACACATATATATATATACATTTACATACACATCACATAATACATCACACATATATATATATATACATTTTATATATATATATATATATTTATGTTCACATAGTGTAGAGAGAGATCCTGTGCACTGTAGAACATCGTGAGCAAATTCTGGTGAGAGGTGGCCATGGAGTAGCCAATGCTGTGGATCTCGCCAGGACAAAGAGCCTCAGCGGCCTGCCAGCCTTCATTTGGTGAAGATATTTACTACGGAAGGCCGGTCCAACAAGCAAGGCCAAGCGGCGACCTTTTGGCAATAGACAAGGGCTCTAACTGTATGTCCCCTTACCTGTAACAGCCGGCAGGCAATTATCACTATATATATATACATATGATGTGTTTTCTTTGTCTCTTGGTGGTGTTGAGTTTGGGTGTCACAGGCTTCCAGTTGGATGAGCTGTTTGAGCTTCTGCCGACTGGCCGCCTGGCATTGACCACAACGCTGAGCAGCCGTGAGCATCAGTGGGGGGACTTGGACACCCGGTGGGTCGTCAGACGACGAGACTCGCGGCGCTGCAGCCACGAAGGTTTGGAGATCGCCGGATCGAAGTTCATCAGCCGTTTGAGCTGGAGGCTTTTTGTGATGAAGTGGATCAGGACAGTGGGAGCGTTGGTATCCAATGTGATAGCTTCTTGTTACTGGTAGTAATGCCAGGAGCTAGTAGCTTCTTGCTCCTAGTAGTGGTGCCCTTTGTTACTATGGAGTCATTGGGTCATTGGAGCCGTTGGAGTCATCTGCAGGACCTGATTTTGAAGCGGCAAGTCCGCATGCCACTCACCATTAAGCCTTTGCCTGCCGGCAGCCGCATCACTGGGCTAGGGCCTGTGGGGCAGGATCAGCCAGACCAGGCCCTTTGAATGAAGCGGCGGGCTTGTGAGGGATCCATCAAGGCTAATACACTTCAGTTTGTTGAAGTTCACAGATGATTGCAATGAATGGTAGCATATAATTAACTGCTTTTTCCAGAAAAACATTCTTTTTAAAACACAATTGCACTTACTTTTGGGGCCTTTTCTATGTGTTTGAGTTATATATTCCTCCAATGGTGACAGAACAAATCTTCAAGCGGCATATGACCCTCGCGAAATGGCACAAAATAGCACTCAAAAGGCGCAAAATTGCGCTCAAGCGGCACAAAGATTTGCACTTTGGCAACTGTTGTAAGTGTTCGTATTGAAGACAAGGGAGGGTTTGAACTGAAACGCAACTTTTTCTTGAAACAGCACTTCCTCAAAGAAACTACAAGAAAAACTGTAGTTTCCCCAATCAGAACTTTTTCCCCAGATAGCGGCTGGGTGCGGGTGCTGGTGCCGGTGCTGTGAGCTGGCCGCGCGCGCTTTCGAGACGGGGTTCTTTCTTGAAGTATAAGAAGAGTTTTCCGTGTGTGCTTTGGAGCTGGTGCCATTGCAGGGTGCTGTCCAATTGTATTTTTTTGCATGTGGCGTCTATGCTGCAATGAAGTTTTTTACAAACCGGTGGACCCGGGTATAATTGCATCCAGGAATCAGCCACGTGCCAGCATTATTTGCCAGAATGCTTGCTGAACATGTTCATGCCAGGCTGCTCCAAGCTTGACAGAGCTCCGAAAGATTCAGTTGCCTGTGTCGATATTCTTCACAGTGGAATCAATCAGGCAACGCTGCCAGACTCAAGTGGCACAGACATTCACAGATTGCCGGCAGGAAATTCGGGCTTTCAGATATTATATAGAATTATATATATGAGCCTTAAATCTTATGGACCTAAACGGAAGGACGATACAATGTACCGTATGGCATACACACATGCATTCACATGTTGGTCAAGGGTTGGGTTAGGCGGTCAAAACGTCTTGCTGAGCGACCTTTGAAATACATTATTTGATCCACCAACTCACTGAAACTCAAGCCACAGCTTTTGAGCAGACGGTCCCCAAACCACCCAAGTTCAAGATGCCAGTTCTTGGCAACAAGACAGCGTAGCATGCAGGAGCACTACATTCTTTTGCCAAGAAGGTGGTTCAGAGGGCCTAAAAACTGTGCCTTCAGAACTGCTGGAATCCCTTCCGCCAGAAATTCGGACAGCATTGGCAGAGCGGCAGGCTGGGTCGGACTTAGTACAAGCAGTGAAGGCTGCTCTCACATAGTACATGCGTTACATGGATTGCCTTTGGCCTCATGTTTCATAGAAGTTTGATTCCCTCACACACACACAAGTCCGACAAGTAGAAAATTTGCCCTCCGTAGAGGAGAGTGCTTTAAACGATTCTAAAGGCTGTAAATCACTGCTATTGTGTGTTTTTGTGGCAGCGCTGAGTGAAGTCATTTTTGGTGTCATGCGTTGTGGATGGGTCCACAAGGCAAACCAGAGTCCTTCACCATCATCTGCAGCATCACCCCACCCGCAAGTACAACGAGTACAAGCAGTACAAGGAGCACCAGGTTCAGGAGCTTCTGGTGATTTTTTGTGACTTTCACATCTCCTGGATGCCAGTATTGTGTGATCCGGCCTGCTCCGATCACAGGATCGAAGGAAGCTTCAACGGGTCGAAGTGTTCGCTCCTTTTGCTGGTCCGCCTGTGCTACTATTTCATGGGCTTCATGTAGGTGCTTGGGCCAGGCCTAAATTGATCAAACTCTACATTTGAAACATATTCAGACACCCTGGTTTGGAATCAGTGACTAGTGCAATATTTTCTTAGAGTCAGATTCTTGTTTTCGATCATGCGCACAAGTCAGTCATGGCACTTTCTTCGTGCAGGGGCTCCGATGTAGTGGTCGTGCTGCTTTGCATTTGTGTGGCAATCCATGCAGGGATGCTTGTATGCCATTGGTTGAAGTGTGAATTTCCGGGATTTTCACCTGTTGGTATGCCATGTTCGGGTAATTTTTGGGCGGATGGGCGGGTGTCAGGACTGCAAGGCTCCGAACCTGCGTGCCTTGATGCCATCCCGTGCTTCGCAAGTTGACCTTGCTACCTCCAGAACCGAGGAGTGTTGGACTTACCCTGACCTGATGTGGCAAGAAGGATCTCAAAAGTCAAGAGAAATATGAGTTTTTCATTTGACATTCAGAACAAGAATCCAGTTGACGAAATCAGATCACCCAGGTACATGGTCCTAGTGGACCGGTCCTTTGGCGACCGTTTAGGCCTGCGTGTCGACAAGGAGGATGGCGAGCTGATTGTCATCGAAGTCCAGCCGGGCTTGGTGCAAGAATGGAACTCTGCAAACCATGGTAATCCCAATGCGCAGGTGTGGCTGGGAGCACCTGAGCACTGGTGTGGAAGTCCTATCGCGACTTCCCTTGGTCCTATTTATTAATTTCTCAGAGTCAAATCTGCGACCTGCAGGTCAGAGAGGGAGATGTTCTTCTTGAAGTCAATGGTCAAACTGGAGATGCACGCACCTTGATGGACACTTGGAAGAGAAGCTGATACAAGCAGCCGACATCATGTGTGCAAGCAGTGTAAGAACTAAGCCACAGCAAGTGCCATGGGCTGCCACATGGTGCATAAGTGTGTGTGCGCGCGCACACACCACTAATTATGGGATGTTTAGAAATTATACATGAGCATCCACCAAATGGGGTGCCGCTAGTCATGTCATTCGGTAGCTGGCAATGTTGGAGTTGCATTTCCTGCGAGGATCTGTGCAAAGGATGCCAGCCCTTGCAAATCAAGCTCCAGCGAACAGTGGAGCCACAAGAAATGTCAGCAGATAAGGACGCGAAGGCTTGTAAAGGAAGACCATGTCAGATTCTGCAAAATTTGAAAACAATTGCATTGTTCTGCATTTGTCATTTGTGTTCATCAATGTTGCCTGGCACCTGGAACACCTAGCAAGTGAGGAACCATGACAAGCCGGTACAACATCGCAGGCCAAAGAAGCGATTGTTGAGACTGAAGCTGAGGAGGCTGAGGTGGAAGCTCCGAAGGACAAAGTTTGAGCGAATTGTACCCAACGGCTCAGAAAGCACCCAACCCCACAGATATTTCAATTGTATCTGCCGGGCCTGAGGGTTGTGTGGTTCGGGTGCTTGAGAAGGCTCTGGTGGAGCCATTGCTGGTGCCTCTTCTGTGGGTGCTGGTGCGAGGCGCTTGGGGTGCTGTGGGTGTTTCAAGTTCTGCTTTCGCTGCTGGGCCTGAGGGTTGTGGTTCCGGTGCTTGAGAAGGTTCTGGTGGAGCCATTGCTGGCGCCTCTTCTGTGGGTGCTGGTGCGAGGCTAGCCTGATGCAAAGCATCCACAGATATTTCGTTTGTTTCTGCCTGGTGTGAGCGTTCCACGTTTTGACATGTTTTGACCCTCACAACTAGGGTTTTGGGACCAACATAACATGTATATCTAGCAGTTTAAGGGTCCAAGAGCCTTTGGGTATACAAGAATTTGAAGACGATGCGCTCATCAGGGGGATACTTTCCTACAGGAAGAGGAGCACAAGAATGCTAGCTTAGATGGAGAAAGTGCTCAAGGTTCTGTTGCTGAAGGGCCAGCTGCAGCAAAGCAATCACAACGGCCAGCAGAGCATGAGAAGCTCCAACCTTCAGCTTCAAGTTCTCAGGCAGGAGCACGCCTTTTGTGGATCCACCAGTACAAAAGCCTAACCTTGCATGGTCGTGTTTTGGGACGCACCGTCCGTGGCAGAGCTTCGACTTCGTCAAGGGAAGCTTTCACTCAGAAGGTCACACAGCGCATTTCTCTTTTGCGTTTTGGTTCACGACAACTGTCAGGGTCGTTAGTGACCGTTAGTGGTTCGCTGCCAGGCGGCGGCGGTCTCCAAACCAACGCTGCCGAAGATCACCGACACCTCGCGCACTGGTCCACAGGGCCCCAAGGGGAGTGCGGCAGGACCTCGCCACCGAGAGCGACGACGAGACCATGCAGGTGGGAGGGACACCATGGGACACCAAGTGTTTGTTCAGGATGATCTATCCAAAAGAAAACCTCTTGAAAGAAAAAGATGTATCCAACATTAGAGGTGGGAGACAAGGTAAAAATAATGAGGAAGAAAGCAATTACAGAGAAAGAGAGAACAAGTCATTTTTACAAGGTGAATATACAGTAGAAAAAATTGCAACAAAACTAGGACAAAATTATACATTAGAAGGATTTAACCGTCCATTATTAAGGCATGAGTTGTCAAAAATATAACTTCTTCATACTTCTTCAATAAAAATACTTTTAAAAGGAAATCTATTTAAAGAAATATTATGTTATAACACTACTTAAAATCATAAAACAGCGCACTCTGACAAACACCCGGACTCTCAAAAAACACTCCCCCCCCAATAAGGAAACCTCGGTCGCATTTTCTTTAATAGGGGTCCCTGAAATCGGGGGGTCCAAAAAAGGGTCACCTGGGAAGGGCTTCAAAACAAAAAAGTGACCCAGGAACATTTTAATACATTTTATATAGAATCCTTTAGTAAACTCGTATCAAAAATTTAAAGAACATCCAGATCGAAGGGTCTTCCTTTTCCCCTACAAAAACCTTTATTGGAATAGTGATTCATTAGACTAACAACTAAAGCTTTCGACAGGTGATGTCGCTGTGCCATGCGGTTTTGCGTGACCTCGGTGGAAAGTGCGTTTGAGTGAGTCCGTGCCATTGGGGGAAGGAAAGCCTGCTTGTTTTTACACGGCGTGTCATGGTGGATAGACAGGGTGGACAGAGGTGGGCAGTTACGGTTGTTTTTGGAACCTAGTTTTGAAAACTCCTCCAAAGTCGGCCATGTTGGTAGTTTAGTAGCGGCTTGAAAGGGCGGCAACTTAAAAGCGAATATAACCGTATTTAGGGGCTTCTGACATGACTTTTTAATAAGGGTACATGTTTTAAAAGGTGCTCGGGATTATTTGCTCTGTCTTTGGCACAGGCCAAAGCAGCTCATCACGCGACCGGCGTGGCCCGCAGGCGACCCTTGAGGCCCGGTGCACGTCACGAAAAGACGCAGCCGAAACGACCTGTGCGGCAGGAACTGCATTACTACTTACTAGTAACAAGAGGACGCTACGAACGGGGCTCCTGGCACCGCTACTAGGAGCAAGGACGCTACTAGGGGCTCCTGGCCGTACTACTAGTAGCAAGACTAGTAACAAGAAACTATACTAGCAACAGCCACTGCAGGAACCAGTGCCTGGTGCCACCTTTAGAGACCCTCGGAGCAGGCCACATCATGCTTGGCTTACTCGTCTTGTTGCAAGGGTTCACAAGGGTTAGCTCACTGTTCTTAGCTGCATGTCTAGAGCAAGTTCACATTAGCTGCAAGTTCTTAATCACTATGCACAAGTGCTGTGGGGCCTTCACCAATTTGTATGCTACAAGGCACAATGCCTTGGGCATAGTCGCTTTCTCCAGATTGGATGCCACCAGCGCTTTATGCCGATTATGTCGAGCACAAGTCCTCTCAAATGGCTTTGAAGCTTGGCATGTCGGATCCTAGGATATCATAGGCACGTAGTGAACTCCATTCTTGCTGTTTTGGTCCAAGAGTGTGTTTCAATCCTACCTTCACCAAACTGGCTGAGGACTTGGGCGGTGCTGGAATGGCAATTGCAGCACCATGCAGTAGAGCTCCATGCAGATTTCGCAATGCCGAGGTTGCCTGGTTGCTTCAATGTTAATGTTTACTTGAGGCTGCTATCAGCTTCGTTGAGAATCAAACCAATCGTTTAGCCAATAATTGATGCCAATATTTGAGGAGTAAGGCTATTTTAGTGGCACGAGGTCCTATCCCTAAACGCTGGTAGAGCTTTAACATCCAGGGACTCTGTTTTGGATATTTTCATTTTCCAGAGATGCTTGAGGCTGCCTACCAGGCTACATCAAATTGGCCACTATCCGGCATGTTTCAGGAGTGGCCACACCGAAGACAACCAAAAGGTCAAAAGGCCCCTGCAAATGCACCATGATGCACCAAACCCAGCAGCCTAGACACTTCACGTCCAGAGGAGCTAAGCGCCACAGCAGCCCTTCGCAAAGTGCAGCGTTTTGGCCATCACCGAGACAAAAAACGCAGCTGGGCGATCATTTGAGGGACAATTGTGTCGCATTTCGGAGAGCTCGGCGATGCATTCAGATGTCAGCAGAGGTGTCCTGAGCTCTGAGCTGTTAGGTGCTGGCTTTGGCAGCAGCTGGTGTGCAATGCAAGCTGTCCTGACAGCCAAATTCGAACCGGGCACACCGTACGCTGCAGCTTTGGTGAAGACTGAGGAAGCCTTTCTGTTGGAAGCAGGCCGGATCTTTGCAATTGAACGCATCGCACTTCCCTCTTCAGAATGGCTGGGGCAGGATGACTTGATGGTATAGAATGGCAGTGAGAGAGAGAGAGAGAGAGAAAACAAAAAAAAGAAACCAAGTGAGAGGATTCATTGCTTTTGATTAAGGGAGGTTGAACACGCAAACATGGCGCAGGCGACGAACTTGAGTCTGACGCAGACGCAGAGGACGACATCCTTCGTCAAAACATTGTGTGTAGTAAATTCATGTAACTTCCAAGGGTTGCGTTGCCTTAGCCGAGAGCTTCCAGGATGTTTGTGAGAATTGGTTGGGCGCGCTGCTCATGATTCTCAGAGACAAGCTCTCCAGCAGCACATGCTGGAGCTCGTATTTGCAAACCTTCTTTGTGACCTGGCGCTCTCAGTGGCTCATGCCATTACAAACAGTCAGAGAACTCCGTATATTCATGTATATATATATATATTATTTGAACTGTTTAGAGTCCAGATTTTGCTGTGGAGCATGTGCTCATTTGGATTCATTTGGATTGTAGATCTTTTGAACAATTGATCACTTTAACGTGAGTCCCGAGAATCTGACCGGTGGCATCAGCTGAGGATGTGGAGACAGGCAGGCTTCGGGACAGCGCGAGGCAAGCGGAGTGGCAGAAAGTCCTTCACGCTGCGCAATCTGCAGTCCAGAGCCTTGAACTTTGCAGAGCGACCAAGAACAACCAAAAAACACATATTGGTGACTGCCCGCGAGCGGAGTGGAGTCTCAGAGTGGAGTCTCAGAATGTCTCAGAGACTCTAACCCTTCTGCTTCGCTGAGGAGCCAATCTTCAGCACAGCTGGCGGAAATGGACCCAGTCTGATGTCGATCCGTTGGGTACAAAGTTGCCGCTTTCGGATGTTGGGAGGTTTGAAAAGATGGGCTCTTGGAGCCCATCATCGGAAAAGAGAATTCCGCACTTTTGGAGAGCAACATGATCCTATCATATCCTGTCCATGTGCAAAAAACACCAAAATACTTTGCTCATGCGGATATTGATGGTTCTTGGATGTTTCGACGACCTGCGCCAGTTTAAGCATGCCTTCGAAATCTTTGCCGATGAGTTCGGTTGCCTCAATACAGGGGCACTCTTTGTACGGAGTCCAAGTCAGCGAGTGTCGGTGTTTTTTGAACATTTTTGAACTGCGAGTGTCGTCCTTTCAACATGTTTGAACATGTTCAACTTCAAAATTGAAGTCTTTGGTGTCTTCCTGTTCAACAAATGGTCGTCCTTTCTGCAGGGCATCCTGGGTTATTTGGGTTACGAGATGAGCCCAGAGGCACGGCAGAAAGTGGGAAGCACCTTTCTAGTGGCCACTCATTTGTGTGGTGGGGGGGGGTAGGGCGTGCCAAAAATGAATCTTGTTTGAACAGGTCGTGACCAACTTGGTGCGCACTGTTGACGTTGATGGCAGTGGCACTTTGAGTTTTCCGGAATTCATTTTCTTCATGAGGCTCACTCACAGAGGTTTGATTTGTTGCCCTGATGACTCCCTGCATGTGTTTCAGGAAGGTTCGCGAACAAGAAGTAATGCGTTTGGAGGATTTGCAGATTTGTTGGAAAAACATTTGTTTGTGTTTTGTTGAAGAATCACATTTCCAGGATGAACTTGGCCGGCTCGAGCTGATTTCAAGATCAGACAAAGAGGACTGACATTGTTGGCGAGATCTGTGGGTGTTGGCATTTTATTGAAACATTGAGGCAGAATCAATCCATGTTTGTTTGTTCCAATTTGCAGGAATTGTTGACAAGTCTTTTGCGGGTGCTTGGTTATGTGCCTGACCAAGAGGTGCGGGTTTTCAAATTTTGATAAGTACGAGTCAATTGCCAGACTTTCCGTTGGATCAGGCCATTAGGGATGCAGCCTGCGATAGCAACATCAACCTAGGCAAAGGTCAAACGATTGGGTGGTTGCCTCAGACATCTCAATGATCCACGTAACATTTTGCACAACATATTATTATCGAATTTGGTGTTCGCACAGACAACGGACTCAATCGGCAAATTGTGCCAAGGGGCCGTCGCAATAGTGCCCAGACGATCAGTTTAAGCCTGGTGAATGTGGATGCTCCAACAAAGAGCCAGGCTGGATCAGTCCTGCCAGTATACAATTTGGAGACAATGTGTTTCTTGCAGCAGTAGCAAGAAACTACTAATAGCTAAGTGTATCGCTGCTAGGAACAAGTGCATCGCTACTAGTAGCAAAAAGTCCTGTTCTGCTTGCGGTCGACAAAGTTCGGTGAAATCTGGAACTTCGGTTCAAAGAGTTTGAGAAGTGGAACCCACTCTCATACTATATACTACCGTAGTTAATCGTAGTTATGCCCTTGTTACTAGTAGCGACGCCCTTGTATCTAGAAGCTTCTAGCTACTAGTAGCGATGCACTTGTTACTAGTAGGGATGCCCTTTGTTCTTCGTTTTTGACACAACTGACGCAACATTTGTTGGTGTTGAAATATGTTCAAACTGATTAACACGTGCCATTCCATCCCAATCCAACGGTTGACTGGACCAGTGACTGGACCATAATATTGACCTTTCTGATTTGGAATGAGTGTTGCTGTTATAAGTTGGTACAAACCGTTTGCTTGTACCTTCTACTGCTCTGCCAAGTAGAGATCGTTTTAGCAAAAGGCCACAAACCGCCTGTTTCGAAACATAAACAGCAAACAAGTTAAATCAACTTCACAAGTCATTTTGACGAACTTCAAAATGCTAACTTACAGTGCTAAGCGTTGTGCCTCTTCCAATTCAGAGCCCCGTGTTTTGCATCCCAACGCAGTAAAACAGCGCGGCCGCTTCCTCGGTCTCCAACGATCCCGCGGCTCGTCCATCACACCCTGGACGGTCGGACAGACCATGCAGCTTCATGCCAAAACTCTGGTGGTCTTCATCCATCTTCATCCGCTCACACTGGTCGTTTCATCAACATCATTCACTTTTGTCCATGTAATTACTTGTAATTATGTCCCAATACCAGTAAGAGTCGGTGCAAGATGGTTTAAGAGTATCACTGATCACTATTTTTTAGAAAGGGCTCTATCAACCATTATTCATCCACAGGGTCCTGGTAATGGGAGGTACTTAAATTCACATAAATTCGCTTCATCGAGGCATGAAGTTGCTTTCCAGGACGTCACATGGTCATGATTCGACATGTGCGTAACATCTGGGTGTCGACTGCCTGGGATCTTCCAGAGCCAAATGGTGTGCACATGAGGCACCAAGCTGCACCAAGCCTTTTTCGAAGCCTTTGACACGAACATGGACACCACACTGCCGCGAAATCAATTCCCTAATGCCGGCCACCCCTGACTGGGGATCAAGTCAGCATATGACGTATCCTTCCACAGTACGGCCTCTTACAATGCGTGCAACCTTGATTGTTGTCCCAGAAGCTACGTGCCCCGCCCTTGTTCCAGACCAAGCCTTACAAAGGTCACAAAATCCAAAGGCGAGTGAGAGTAGTGTTTTATTTGCTGCCTGTCCTGGTATCAAGTCTCGATGTTCCGTTCGGGCAACGTAGCATCTCGACCTACTCGACATGATTGTGTAGAGAAGAACCATGAAGAACCTGTTGTTGTGTGTCAAGGAAGACAGTGGGGCAGTGTAGACTCAGTGTAGACGGGTGTCTTGCGTTGGTCAACGGGTGTCGACTGCGCTTGGTTGCATGCCCTGCAGAAGCAGCTGAGCCTCTCTGAAGCCTACCGCTTTCTGGAGGCGTCTACAGATGCTTGTGTTTGCAGAGTGGGCCCCCAGGGCGATGCCAAGAAAGCCCTTCATCAGGGTTTGTGATGGTTTGTGAGGTTTGCGTTCTTCCTTTGCTGTTTTTGCATACTTTATAAAGTTGTTTTCGGTGTTCGTGGTGGGACATGTGTCTCAAGTGCATTGTATTGCACCAGGTTTATCGACTGCGTGAAGGCTTTACGCGAGCTGAAGCTGATGAATTGAAGGCCAGGTATTTCACAAGCAGATGAGACAAAGCCATGAGATAGGGTGAAGCAACATCTGGCTTGTTTGCCTCAGAAGTGCATCGAATTGTTCCAGCATGATTCTCGTAGATGCCCTTCAGCACAAAAAGCACACAGTGTGCAGGTTTTCTTTGAGAAGTTTGGCCATGAGAGTGACAATATGTCGCGTATCAGCTGGATGGCTCAGAGCGGCTCATGGCTGGGTGGTTTCAACTAATGTGGCGACTACTGTTTGTTTCATATGAAACAGTAATTACTTCATGGCCTCAAGCAACTTACTCCAGTATCTTCCATCAAAGATATCAAGGACAAGGGATAAGCTTGTGTTAAACATTTATGATCTGGAATGCGTTGCAGGTGAGGCGAACTGGCTACTCATGGCTGTTCACGACTGTCAAACGGATCACAGCCAGTACCGCAAGTACCGCAGCCCACAAAGGGCTGTTCCTTAGCTCAGGCAGCTGTGACGCTGGGCGAGCGTTGAGCTGGCTTGGCTACAAAACGAGCTACGAGGAGCATGAACTGCTCTTTGCTGAGGCAGGCCTTTACGAGATAAGATCAAGAGACTTCTTGATTGGACCAGAATGACTAGATTCTAGATTCGCTTCCGAATGAACTGCAAGAGCCATGTGTCAACCGTTTGAGAGGTTGACATTGCTGGAACCGGTGACATTAGCTTGCCAGAATTTCTGAAGCTAGTGGCATCCCCAGAGATGTTCAAGTTCCTGCAAACCAACGCCCTGTGCAGCAGCATGAGACACCTCTGATCCTTCCACAGTGCAGAGAGGTCATGCACATGGCCAAGGTCCGCAAGTACCGCCAAAAGGAACTTGAGCAAATTCGGGCCTCATACCTCAAGTGCGCCCAGGGTTAGCTGACAAGATTTGGTGCTGCTTCGCCAACGTGTTGTGGTTGACCTTGATAAACAAACAGGATGGGAATGGTTGGAAAGGATACATCTGCAGATGGTCAACATGTGTCGGTGACCAAGCTGTCAAACTTATTCAGACACCTATGGACTTCTGGAGATTGCTCTCCCAAATGCCGCTCAGTCTGACGTTCCTTGTATACTTTCGCCGAAGTATGAGGATGAAGCAAAGCATGACTTTCCTCGGCCTGCGTGCACCAACATCATCAATGACTATGACAGTGTCGCGATCGAGGACGGACTTTAAGTCACTTGCCAAGTGCTCAGAGCGAAGACGTCCGACTAGACTGATTACGTCCGTGCCCTTTGTACGCACCGGCCGTCGCTCCTACCGATTGAGTGACGCAGTGATTTGCGATTCTAGAATAGCAGCCCGGCATGGTCCGCATGGTAGATGTTCCGCTTCAATCAGGGCGGTGAGGGTTTGTTTACATTTGCCTTGAGGCACAGAAGATGAAAGATGCAGAAGATGCGCGGTGTGGATCTCAGACGCCGCGACTACACACTTGCCACGTGGGGCGCGGCTTGTGTTGTGAAGTCGCATTCGTGCCTGGCGCTTGATGAACACCCAGTGCAAGATCCATCAGGTGTTTGATCATTCGTTGTGTGTGCATATAAGAAGTATCATAAGGCAAACGATAGATTTAGAGAACAAGACTTGTTTGTTTTGCTTGGAATATCTTGGAATCATATTTCCTGCATTTGTTGAACACCAGGGAGATGGGACAAAGAATCATAGTGAAACATCAGAAAGAAGGGACATAATGTTGCATTCGCTCCAGGGTTTTTGTGAGTACATTGCTATGCCAGCATAGTTAGCCAGCATTCCTCCAAGATGGTTTAAAGTTTAAGACGACGGTGAATGACGTTGAAACGATACATAAGATGCGTGCTTTGACAAATTCTTTGCATGGGAGATGTTATTGCGTACAGGGCCCATTGCGTTGTAGTGATTCTTGCAGCACCGTGTGGCTTCACTCCAATGCTTACGAAGGTTTCTTGTCCTGTTTGTGATATTCTTGACATGAGATTCCAGCCATTGCTTGTGCCCTTGCCACTTGTGCTTCTGAGGTATGGCATTTTGCGCACTGCTGTGACCAAGCGCAACCAGATGCGGGCCAGCATCATAGGTCAGAGACAATACTGTCAGAGACAATCATTGGCTGTGTATAAAGAAGTGTGCTGGTAGAGAAGCGATCAACCCACCCATGCTATCCAATGGCCTGCTTGAGGTTGGACCTCTCTAACGGGGGGCTGCTGGTAATCCTGCGCTGTGAAACCGAAGCTCGATTTGAGGTTCTGGCACAACAACACTTTGGCTTCTCAGTGGAAGAAGTTGAGGTCTTGCGACGCAGGCAAAGATGCTATGACAAGACGAATGACCAACATGTAAGCGAAAAGCATCTCATGATATCTCAACTGTAAGGCTGCTCACATGTGGCTCAATGACCGGCATACCCCAACCCGTCAGTCACACCGGATCGATCTGGCAGGTTCCAAGAGTACGATTCGGATGGAAGTGGAACGGTGCATTCATCAGAGCTGCGGACACTCTGTCAGGCAGCTTATTCTGTGCATTTCCGTGCATGCATTCTCTGTGCACACATGTGAGCAGCGGTCATAAACCCCTATAGCAAGATGTTTTTGAAAGGTGGTATGGGAAATGGTTAGGATGTTGATGTTAAGTATTGGTTTAGTAGCGGGCCCCCCAGCAGAATCATGCAAACCACCAAGGCAGCGCTAGATTGGCGCTAGGTTCGTGGTTGATTTTTTACTTGTCGTATAGAATCAACATTGGTTTGGTTCATGAAATCCTGCGCATTTTGCGGGGGAATGCTGCAACTGGGTAGTAGTATACAAAGTATACTATACTGGGGAAAATACAAAATTGACCTTTGTGATGTGTGTTGCGGTTACCTCAAACTGGAAAAAGATCTGAGTTTTGTGCGCTAGATCCGCGCTAGCATTTGCGCTAGGTTTGCGCTAGCACAGTTCTCAAATGTGATCAGATGTCCATTTGTCCTGGAAGCAGATCTTCGCCATTACTACTTGGAAAGCTTGTGCCCATGTCTCTTTTCCTATCAAATTCCTCACAGCATGGCTAGCTTAGACAACAAAAGGTCGTCAAAGAGGTAACACAGGACAACGGCCATCGCGCTAGGTACGTTTGCAACATTCTGCACCTTTGACTGAAGTACTTCACATTTCCATACATCCCAACTACCCTCTCTGAAAGGTATTGAACAAGAAGCGGGCCCCCCATCAGAATGACTTGTACAGCCGCTTTCGGGAAAAAACATTTTGACCACCAACCATGTGTGGCTTTAGTGCAACATCCATTCGGTGTGTGTGTGTGTATGATAGGGTCGGACCCTTGAAACAAAGCTGAAGCATGCTGAAGCAGTGTTTCCCTGCCAAGCAATCGGGTTTAGGGTGGCAATGAATCGTGATGTCCGTTTTCCTCTATGGTTGTCAGCTTCCACTTACGCAGCGCATGGCGAATGTAATGACATTCCTGTAAAACGGATCCTCATCGCGTGTGATGTTAGCACGTAGAGCCAGATGGTACTCCGGGAGTATCCATGGTTCAAGTTTGATGGATGATATGGATGTTGGGTGGGTGCTTTTGATATTCAGATAAAAGCAGACAAAAGCAGATAAAGTCGATTGGACAGGGCCCACAAACCTTCTTGTCATTGCGTTTTCTTCACCGCCACAGGAACTGGTGCCCGAACTCTCCCTGGATCCCAAATGTCGACCTGAGATACTCAAGCTGCTGAGAGAGGCGGGATGATGGTGGGAGTACGTTTTGACAGTCCTCAAAAGCCTTTATCTCTGACCACGGCATACCGTACACGGCATAGCAGTGTAGCGCGTACACCAGTCCTCACAAGCCTTTAAAGCAACTATATATGAGGTTGCTTTGCGGTTTTTGGGAGTGTTTGGAACTGTTGCATTTCGTACATTTGGCACAGGCGAACGCGGGTGACGGTAGAATGTCCTTAAATGAGTTCTTGGGAATGGCCCGCTGCAGCCTAAGCTCATGATTCTGTTTGCAGCCTGGGCTCGCATTCAAACCGTTGCTTGAATTGGGCTGGTTGTTCCAAGTTCCTCTACAGCAAAGGCCAACTTGAAGACTCCAGCAGGAGAGCAAAGGCTCGCAAGGAGTGATTTTGGAGGGTTGGTGTGGGGGATGAGAGGGATTTTCGTGATCAAATCAAAGAACATTGTTCTTCAAGCTTTGCTGCCACCGAGGAGCAAGTTGCTTTGGATCACTTGAGCTTCACGCATGCTCAAGTACGCGACTTCCGGGAGATCTTCGTTGAACATGCCCAGCTGGCAGCTTGTTCTGTTCGTTTGTGGTTTGTTTGCATGATATGAAGGAAGTTGTCATGCCAGTAATGACCTTCTGGAATTGCTCAGACGTGGAAGATCCGCGCAGGGTTCACGGCCAAACAGACCTTCCCCTCAAGATGCAAGAGTTCCCCTCAAGGAGAAACAAAGAAGGTGTTTGGACCCCTTTAACTTACTGTAGGGGGACCTTATGCAAGGGACCCAAACACAATTCTTAACATCAACTTGCTACTGTGCAAGTCTTTGCATGCCAGGATGATGAGCACAGGGACCACCTCAGCTTTCAATCGGTGGTATCTCTATTGGGTAGTTTGGTACCTTTGGGCGACCGCAGAGTCTCTGACTCAGCTCAATGCTTTTGCCAAACCCCGAATTTTCCCTCCCGCAGAAATTGCCTTGTTGAGGTACAACAGCTGGCACAGCTTTGGCAGAAGAATGTGGAGAAGGCACCAACCACCTCAGATACAGAGGCACCGCTTTGCAGAGTGCTCCGGTTTCACTTCTGATTTTACCTTAAATCACACTTTGGATGGCACTTCTTGTTCACTACTTGGGGTCGATTGGCAGGAGTGGGCCATCGACTTTCCGGACTTCATGCGGCTGATGCATGCTGTGCACATGACTGAGAAGATGAGTCAGATGAGTGTTGAGTCTTTGATCCTCCAGTAAGTCTATGATAGTCTATGTGTATTTCTCGTTGTTTGGGTCGCTTCTCAGATGTCCCCTCCCGTGCCAGGTTGGAGATCGACTTTTGTGGCATCAAGGTGAAGAGCACACAGATTGCTCCAAGCCCAGCGAAGGCAAACGGCAACCACCAAATCCACAAGAACGACATAGCTGCATTTAGCATCGTCTAGCCTTCTTGTGCCTTGAAGTTGATGTTCTCTAAAGGCGTTTTGCAGACTGAGGCGAATGAATTGGAGGAAGCCAAGAAAAGGTCAAGCAAAGCCAGGTTGCTACCTGAGCATGTCTTCCACCCCCCCACAGAGTGTGACAAGAAGTGTTGCTTACAGCATACACTTATTTAATCTTATTTTGATCAGAGTATACAAGAGGAATCAAGAGGAAAGGTTCAGGGGTCAAATATGAACAAACACATTTTGCCAGAGACGGAAGGAGTTGTTTGATTTTTTCCACAGGCATCTCTGTATTCCCAGGTTACAAGATTTAAGCACCCTGGGACGACTGTGCATTCCTCAGGGCTGAAGAGGGTCCCCTTTCGGATTCGGTCCGCAAGCTTCCCCTTGAGGTCAACTCTCTCAGCGTCATCGAACTCAGAGGCAATTCAGCTGCAAGATGGCCGAACAACGTGCATCGAACTCTAGGAACTTTTGGCAATGCTTGGCCGAGGCCTCTGATGCTCTCATGCCACTGTTAGACGCAACAGATCCAGACTAGAGTATACCTGGGTGTGAACCACAAGCTGTTCATTACGCCCGCTGTAGCTAGAGTCGAACCACCGTGCTGCAGGCAGAAACCTTTTTAACATACAAACGGCCTGATTCTGGTTGCTGCACGGAATATGGTAGACATGTACATTGAAGGTGCGCAAGATGCGTGCCAGTCGAACACATGTCAACACATATTGAATGTGATTGGAGCTGCAAGCTCTTGAAGGTTTTTTGCTGAGCTTGCCCGGGACTGTTGATAAATCAGTTCTTGCATTTTGCATGCACATTGAACTCAGTGCTTTAATTGAAGCTTGCAGCAGTTTGCGTTCCTGGACGCGATTTTCAAAGGCATGGTTTTTAATTTGGAAGGGTTTGGTCTTCTCAGCTCCTGATGCAGTATGGTTTCTTGCTTGGGAACATAATGAGTTCTTGCCGTTTTGCAACTGAGCTGAAGAGAAAACCATCGAAATCGCTCAGAAATAAATTGAAGCTGCAAGGAGAGATGCGCTTCGGTTTTCTTTTAGGGATCCCTGGCAGCTGAAGGAGGCAGCCTGGGGAAAGGTCAAAAGAAGCTCACATGTCGGCCGTTTCGTATTTAAGTCACCAAGTTGTTATAGCGTATTTCATCATTGTTGGTACGGTATGCTTATGTTACTTTTGTCTTTAATCTCGAGTTTTTTCTTCGTGTGCGATGTTGAAGCTTTGCACTCTTGCATGCCGTGGCTGAAGATTGTTCTCGCCCAACTGTTGCTGTGACAATGAGCCTCTCAAATTGCAAAGCACAAACAATGAGCCTCTCATTTACAGCTTGGATCAGGATTCTCGAACGGCTTGTGACAGGTTTTGCATATAGGCAGATTTGCTCAGCCCAACAAGTCTTGAAGCCAGGCATGTTGACTTACAAATATATGCTCGAGTGGAGGTACAAGACTAGAGCGCCAAGAGATTCAAACAAAATGTTCCACTTCCTTGTAAGGCTTCGAGTGCCTCCAGCCATTTTGCTGTTAAGCACCACCGGCGTTTTTCAGTCCCGCAGCCTAAACTACACGGCGCCCGTGTTATTCATGAAGACGGTTTAGTGGGGCGACATGGGGACCGATCCGTCGCTTGCTGAATGTGCGGAAGAGTATTTTAATCCAATGAAAGTGTTGCAGAAATGTGTTGAAAAGCAATCTGAAGCCTGTGACATGTTCAAGTCCACTTTTTTTCGGCACATGCTGCTGCCAATGTGCGTTTCTTCAGATATGCAATGTTTGGACACATTCTCATTTAGGTTCAGAACGTCAAGCCGTGGGTACCAACAGTCCTGCCCTGCGTGCCGCGTCCTAGCATTGCAATGAGATTGGGGCAAGAATGGCAAACACTTTTTTTGGCACAGCACTTTTTGATGAACAATAAATAACAATAATATGTGTTCGCTACAAGATGCTATATATCATGAATCATGGGGCCATTGTTTGTCTTCATCTTCCCTTTGTCGTGTTTTCTCCCGTCTTTGGACCCAGGGAAATCCATGGAAAACCCACTTCCAATTCCACCATCCATCTCCCGGAACGAGGTTTGCAGAGCTTTTACCTGACGGCACCAATCTTGAAAGCTCGGACCTTGGTCCCACCCATCACGGAGATGAACGACGTACGGTCGAACACCGGAGACCGGCAGAGTGAGACCGGTGAACTGGAAGAGCCCGGGCTCAGGTGATGCTGACAATACCATCAGCAGAACTGACTCGGTTGGATTGAAGAGCTTGGCCCCTAAGACGTGCAAAGTTGCCAGATAAGATCATGGTTTCGAACATGGAAGAACACTAGATCTGCAAGCTAGGCATCAGCCCATCACTCTATATAATCAGATGGAATATGATGACATATGATGGAATCCCAAGGCTGGTTCTCAGAGCATGTCTCCAACAATGAAGCGACCAACATGGGCGCACCACGCCCTCCAACCCCGCTGAGAAGGCCATGAGCGACTGGAAAGTCATGGCGAATGACTTGTTTTATCAGGCATTTGAGTGCACCAATGAATTTTGAGAACTACTTATATTTTTATAAGTGATTAGGAGTCCCTGGGGATTTTGAACAATTCACTTTCTCGAGTCTTGTGATACCATTTGGGATGATTTTGACTTGATGAATTGCATATTCTGCAGGATATAATATGCCCACTGAGCATAGGTTTGTACACTGGGATGGAACACAAGCGCGGCATGCTGATGGAACTGATCCTTGCAAAGTGACACCTCTACAGCATGAACCCTTCAACTTGCTTTTGCTTACACCAGACCACTGCAGGCAGCGCAGGACTAGGATCACATTTTGCTGATAGACTCGAGGTCGGTCAAGAATTGTTTGTTCCATTTGCCTGCTGTGACAGGCTAATAGACAAACTATAATTTTGAAGGTTGGTGTTGGCCAAGTATTTTGGCGAATGGCCTGGACATGCTGAACATTTGGTTCGAGGGGACCTGCTAGAATGGACTTTCGTGATTTGAATTGCCCATTCAATCATGTGGACGGGGATTGACAGTTGCGTTTGACACCTGCGACAGTACATCAAGGTATTGTTTGTCGGATTGATAATAAATCACAAGCTGCTTGCTTGCTTTCTTGCTTGCTTTGCTTGCTTGCTTGCTTGCTTGCTTGCCTGCTTGCTTGCTTGCTTGCTTGCTTGACGGCGCTTGACGGCGCTTCAAAAACTCACATCGCATGCATCCGTATGATGCAGCATGGTGACGTGCGATTTATGAGACATGGCGTTTGTTGAACTTTGCATGTCATTTGGCCACTGGCTGGGGTTTTATGTGAACAGCGGACAGCATCGCTTTTGCACACTACGTCGTGCGGACAAGTTGTATCGAAAAAGACTTTGACAGATGGAAGAGAGGATATGCGACAATGACGTGTCTTGCAAAGCTTCATGTTGGTATGCAGAATGCCAGCGTTGTTTTTTGCATGAAAGTAGCTAATTACTATGTCATATGATATGTTTCGTCTCGATGAAAATGTTTGCGCGTGCTTGAATGTACGCCAAGACACAGCGGCACATGGAATGTCGATTAGGTATGAGGTGTATTGATGTGTTGTTTTCTACCAAAGGGTACCTCTGCTGCTGAGTTATAATTGAATGGTATTATTTCTAATGAGGTACTGCTGCAAACAGTGCAAATTATGATATTCTGCCTCAGGCTTGGCCTGACGCCACTGGGTTCAGCATTCTAATCCAAAGACTGGAACAGAAGCCAAACCCTCTGTTGATGTTTGTTCTGAGTTAGAACTACAATAGATATGAGGAAGCATGGAATGACTGGAGACGGAAACAGCCCGACCAAAACAGCAGGAGTGCCACCACCAAAACAGAAGCCGAGTGCTGTCGGCGGCAGATTGCCCTCGAGAATGTGTCAGACTCAGGACTTTTGCAACTAATTCTGTGAAAAGAAGCAATTCATGTGTAATTACCATGAGCATGCACTGATGCTACTATTTCATGGTTGCCTTCGTTCATAATATTGTTTATTTGCACCTTTGAGATCTTTACTATGGAAAGCATGCAGTTGCTTCAAAACAGTTGGTTCCAGATGTCCTTGGTGCAATGGAGTATGGTTTGCTCGCAATCAGCGAGGTCAGTCGCTATGCTGTCGCCTCAAGAGATTTTCTCACAGCTGAATGTCGTTGACTGTAGATTGCACATGTGTCTTGAATTCATTTGACAAAGACAAAGACTACTTGCATCAGAAGACACCTTGAAGAAACTCACAATCTGTGTAATCACAGGAGGACTTTGCAAAGAAAGTTTCTTAATTTTGTCCTACCCACCACCACCACCACCACCACCACCACCACATTCTTCTTCCCGATGAAATCACTCTCCACTGACTCTCCGTGACCCTCCTTAAGGCTTAAGAAGAATACTCACCGGGGCCACCTGGCAACAGCCAACACCGAAACGGTGTCTGCCTGGTCGAACGGCTTGGGTCGAACAGCCTTGTCGCGATGTCAGGCCTCCCGCTGCAAAGAGGTGGACAACCAGTTCCTGTTCTCCAGCAGGTACGCAGAGAGCCATGCGCTCTGCGTAGGAGGCCGTAGGAGACGAGATGGACAAAGACGGTCTTTTCGAAGAGGTCTTCACCAGACTTGGCAGCGGATCTCCGAAGAGAGGGCGTTCCAGAAGGAGAAGGCGTGTGCACCTGAGAGGCGCCAAAATGAGCCTCAAGTTTGGAGAAGCAAGTCGCCCAACTAAGGCTGGTCAGGCTGGCTTTCACAAGGACAACTGCGGCATTCTGTGGCACAAGGAGCACTCCTTCCATGGAGATGCATCATCATTATGTCAATTATGTCCTCTTTCATCATTTTTGCAGTGTAAAAACGTCCTTAGCTGGCTTAGCTGCTACGCAAGGATACGGTGGCCAACCAAGAGTCCCCTCAATCAGACGTGCCAACGTGCTATGAGGCCAGGCTCGTGGGCGCTTTCACCTAACGGCAACGACCTGCGACTCGACCGGCACGGAAGCCGCCGCGACTCGAGTGACTTGAGGCCTGCTGTGATGCGCGACTTGTCTTCCGCAAGCTTGCTCCAGCCTCAGGCGACAAAAAGGCGACAAAAACGGATAACGGAAAAATGTGATATAAACAGGTGACAAGAAACAGGTGATGAAAAACAGGTGACGAAAAGGTGATTGGATGTGCCTGTTTTTATTTGGAAAGTTATGGAATGTTGGAATTAGTTGGACTGACTTGCTTGTTGCATCTTGCCTGCACAGAACTCCATATCTAAGCGGGCGATAGTTACAAGATGAGAAGTCAGGCATCCATTTTCCATTCAGCTCTTGGCCATGGTGACCTAGGCGACACCCGACTCATTGGACGCATACGACGCATGACGCAGACGTTCGAATGGACTTGATTTGAACATTGAGAGCGCCTCTATACATCTTAGAGATATAAAACAATACATAAACAACACCAGAGGCCATCACTAGGTCACTAGCAGGTTGGAGGCCATGGCTAGTAGGTTGGAGGCCATGGTTTCAGTGACTCTCATTGACCCTTTTAAGCCTGGAGGCATCGAAGATCCAGGGTTCCACGACCCAGCAAATGCTGTCATCATTTTTGATTGGGATGATACGCTTTTGCCCACAACGTGCGCTGCTCCCGGGCATGCGGTTTCGCTCAGTCAGTGGTTTCCGAATGCTTTGGATCATGTTTTTCCAAGTTGCTGGAACTCGTGTACTGGTTTGGACTGTGCTTGGCGGTGTTTTTTTGTCTGCTCAGCTTCAACTTACCAGGTACATTTTGGGAACCATCATACCAAGCTTGGCTGAAGAAGACAGAGCTGGTGTCCTTCCTGAGAGCTCTGAGTACAAGGACCAAGAGTGGCCTGCAAGGGAGGGTTCACTAGAATTCAATAAGAAACCCTTGTGACATTGGCCATTAACCAAAGAGAGGAAGAGGATAGTGGAGGGACAATTGTTTGCACTGGCAAACAATTGCCTTGGATGACCATTTTAGTTGACAAAAGTAACTCCAATGTTGAACTCATGAGCCGTTCAGCAAGGTGTTAAGGCCCAGTTTGCTGTTGGTCGCTAACAAGACCAGGAGCAGCTTGCAGCTCATGCTCACTTAGTGTCTTTCTTGCTACGCGCCGCTCGACGGGTAGCGAGGGTGGCCATTGTCAGAGACTCAGCCTTCGTCAGATGTCTTCATACTGTCCAAGCATGGTTATCAGCTCATCATCGATTCCTTTTGTTGCATGCACTGTTGCATTCAACCGAAATCGTTCGAGGCCTTCGTTTAGAACTCGTGGCCAGCTGTCAAGACTAGGGTCCACAGAACAGATGAGGACCACAGATTTGGGTTTGTGTGCTTGGTATGGCCCTTTGTTGTTCCACCGCCCCCTTGCAACTGTCAAAGTTCGGGCCGAGCTGCCTTGGGTCGCACGTCAGCAGCCGTGAGCGACTGTCAACCTTGCCTCAAGAAGCATGAGCATATGCTCAAGCTTCCGTGGCTGCTTCTCCTTGAAACATCGCTCAGCAGAGGTTCCCCACCAATGTAACAGGTGCAAGCTGCTTCTCAACAAATTTGATCATGCAGCAAACTAAGAGGTGTCGACCAACTCTGGCCACAGGGGTCGACCGGGGTATACGCAGGCATCGTAGATATATTTATATCTCCCGGGGCGTATAATTTAACGAAAGCCACCGGGGTGAGCAATTGCACAAGCTGTGTATCGAATGTTCAATCATTTCTCTCAAGCAATACTGATAAATCCAAGCTCTCCACAGTCAGTGTAGCTACAGCAAGCTACAGCTGCCTTCGCACTCAAGCGGTTCAGAATGGACCACCCTGCGCGCGACCACCTGTGAACCACGTGCGCCACCAATCCCTGTAAAGGGATGACATGCCGGAAGGAAGCAGTGGTTCATACTAGTAGTGGCTCATCAGGACCGCTCACCATACCTCACTTGGTCTGGCATGCCTCAACCAACCCAACCACTGCCCTCATCTCAGACCTCCAGATCACGATTCTGCTCAGACCCAGGTCTCAAACTCTTTAAGCCCATGGGTGCAAGCTTCAGCTGTGCAACACTCAGCCTTTGCAGCGCTTTACAGCTTGCGCTCCCTTGAAAAAACGTTGTTTCTGGGTGTTTTTCTGCAACGAAGCCTCCACCCAGATCAGTCGTCTGAGTTTTGTATCAGACGACTGAGTACAGCAGCTCAAGAGGGGAGTGTGTATCAACTGGGTGCCCACCGCTTGGAAAGATCCCAGCATGGATCTGCCATGATCTACCCGCCAGGCGCGCTACTTGCCCGGTGTTGACTTCGAAGCCTTGTTCGAAGAGCTCGATTTGTATCTCAGATCCCAAGCCGCTTCGTGATGGTGGTGGTGGTGGTGGTGGTGGTGTTTTGTCGGCATGAGGAGGTGCATCTCAGGCACCTCGTTTTGAGAATGCAGGTGCATCATGCATTCACCTCTTGTATTGGATTTTGACAGCTCAGGCCAGTGTACTACTCCCGGCAGCATTTGTCCAACATTCCTGTCACCTACAAGGCAGACTTGTGATGATGCATTTCACCAACCCACAGCCGATGTTGCACCGTTGTCCAAGGTGGACAATTGGGAAGTCAACCTTGACCGGAGAACAGGTGGGCGAATCGGTCCCGGACTTAGAACTTAGAGGACTGCATTGCAAAGGGTCTTGGACCAAGCTGAGTTCTTGTCTTGAGGTGTCGACATTATCCGAGAATTCGATGGATCATTAGCTGTCGCAAAGATCGAGGATGGGGGGTGGGACTCAGGGCAACAAATGCGGCTAGCACAATGAAGGAAACCGTGGGGATGCCTTTTCAATTTGTCACGGCAACATCCCTGGATTTTGCTTGGAAGCATCTCAAAACCTTTTGCACAAGTGTGTAACCTTGTGTGACCAAGAGTCTCAGAGTACTATCAATCATGTTCTTGCTTATTTATTTATTACTAAAATAGGAAGAAAGGTTGGAAAAAGAAAAACAAGGCAGCACAAAAAAGCAAGCCTTCATCGGGTCTACACAAGAGAAAACATGAGTGAAAACATATTATGATTAAAATAATACGTGAAACGATGTGCAACGTCACAAGATGTCACAAGATGAGAAAACAAGTTCATCCAAGCTCTTCGTTCTTCAATTTTCCTGGTCCGAAAGTCTGGAATTGTCCAAGTTGCTGGAGGAGGGCGGCCTAATGGATCAATGGAATCAATCCTATCCAGACCAAGCAGTTCAGCCGGGAGATCGCTTTGCTGAGGCCGGAGACAGGTTTGTTTTTCTTCAGCGAAGCTGCAACAAGCAGTGATCGAGCTATGATCCGACGTTTCAACCTGGATTTATAGCTGTATGATGTTTATACTTATTCCATCTTCCCCGTACCAGGAACAAGGTAGGAAAAGGGAGTCCAATAGAGTGAACATGCTTCAAGTAGGTGAGTTCGTTCGTCCGGTTTGACCCACTTGAAGCCAAATTACTTGTTTAGGGATGTTTTGCTATGGGTTTCAATGACAAGTCAACAGCAAGATGCCACACGCAGACTTTCAAGAACGCACTTGTTCAGCTCATGGGCATTCATGGACTCAAGAGAGCATCTCTTCATCCAATAAGATGATTGAAAACCATGAAAAACCACCTTTTTCCGCTTTTGGAGTCGAGAACCCCCCTGTTTTGTGGGCCAACACTCAAGCCCTCGTCATTCTGAACCTTGCGTCGTTGTTTCACCTCGCGTGTTCCCGACCTCGCTCGTGTGAGGTCAATGGGAACACGGAGTCCTTAGCGGCTGAGTGCCGAAAGCTCCAGGAGTTGAAGATCACGGTCTACCGAGCTGCCAGGGACTCGGGACTCGCGAGACGAAGACCGAGACCGGACGGGACCGGGACCGTCCGACGATCCGAAGAGACGAGAAGAGACGAGAAGACGATCGCAATGAGAAAACAGATGAAGAGAATAGAGATGGCAGATAGCATGAACCAGTACTCAGTACTCTAGATTTTGAATAGAGGGCTTACGATTCTTTTCAAACTGAGGTGCCAGATCGAGATCCATATGTGGAAGCCAAGCGGATTGACATGACAGCTTGCTTGGACAAATTTTATGGCCGCCATGTCAAGTGGCAACAGAACGTGTCTTGACTGATGTGAGAGCACGAACGCGAGAATCAAGATCACAGTTTCACCCACCTGAAGTACTTCACCTTCGTGTTGAGCTGAAATGTTTTATGCCATAATATGCAGGTCAGCATAGCATATGGTGTTCACGCTCACAGGTTTTATCGATTGGTGATGCATGCACAGAGCAGCAAGCAATCAAGGAGGCAGTGGTGTGTTTTTCTTGAAGATCGCTGCAGCACTGCATCACCGCACTTTGACAAAAGATACACATGTTTGAAACACTTAGTGTTGTGTGGCCCGCGAAACTAGCTTGCCACAGAACATGCTCGAGATTCGAGTGAGTGAGAGAATAAAAAATGAAACACTTGGGTTCTAAGATGTTCCAAGAGCAGAAGCCATTTTGGCCAGTGGGTCAGTTTTCCAGGTTTTGCATGACAATGCTGAGTCCAGAGCCTGAAGTTTGATTTGTTGATGTGTTTGCTCTTTGTTTTATGTACAGTAACTGTGTGGGCACGGCTTTGCCCACATTGCCAAGGTCAAGCAGACCACAACCTTTATGCAAAACCGTTCGGTGGCCTTGAACCGTTGCTTTGTTTCATGGCCGATGGGGCGGGCGAACCGTAACATGCCAAGCACTTGTGACATCTACTCTACCCGGTCCGCTCATATTTGCAAGGTCAACTTGATTGACACGCCAACGCTTGAACAGCTCAGCAATGAGCTGAGAATCCTTTTGGTGGCCAGCTCAGTTTGTGCCCTCAAACCGAGAGGTTCAGGTTTCAAGCTTTTGAGACCTTGGTGCTCTGACAAATTGCACACCAGGTTTGGCTGTCTAAAATGGTGCAATATCCAAAGGACGGCACTGTGCAGGTTTTCCGTTGAAATCCATCGGATGGATTGAATGCTCAGGACTTTGATTTGTTTATGGACGAGCTTGGAGCCCAGAGCAAGGGCTGTCACGACCAAACCCTGCAGTTCGCTTGCCGCTGTTGCCCCGCTTGCCGCTTTGGCATGTGCTTTCGACTTTGACAGGTTAGATGATCTCGAAGCCGAGCTATTCAGAGCATGATACCACCGAGCTAGCTCTCGAAAAGGCACAGTGCCTCATGCACCTTGAAGAAGCCCGGTTCCGGTTTGCTATAGGTATAGTGCAGGAGACTTGAACCTTGAGTAGTGGTGCAGTATGGTTTGTCACAGTTTGACAGTTTGCTGTTTTTCTGGCCACCTGCTGCATGTGAACCCTCCTGCTGCATCAAGAGGCTCTGAGTGTGTAGCAAGCTGCCAAGCCGCCGAGGTTTGTGTTGCGAGGAGCAAGTAGACTTGGTTTGAGTGCCTATCACGCCGCGACATCAGCTTTTCTGACTTCTGGAAAAAGGAACCAGTTTACAGTATATACATAGTATATGCAGTATATGGAGGTTTGCTGAAGTCTCCCTTTCACACTTCTAGTGGTTCTTGCTTTCAACCTGCTGCCGGGCAGCCATGGCAGCCTTTTTGCGGGACGCGCATGGTGACAGCGCAGCGTTGAATTCTGAGTTGTGATTCAAGATACCCTAAGACCCTAAGACACCGACAATCCCCCCCCAGCCCTCGCCCGGTGTCTTTGTGCCACCTCACAGCCGCATGTAACGTAATGGCTTGGCCGCTTGGGCTAAGGAAGCTGTGCATGCTTGTGATTGGCATCGGCTACCTTTTTCCCATTGCAGCAATCTGGGCGGCCTTTGACTACTGGAAGGCCGGGGTTGAGACCTCACCATAAACCCTTTCACATGTTATATAATTTTGAGGGAGGAACGCGAGGGCAAGGCAAGAAACTTGTTGCACGGATTTCAGTTTCTACTTTTCGCCCGCAGTGTGCAGGTCCTTTTCCCTGACGCCAATGTGGAGTTTGCAGTAACTGCACTGTATCAGGCGACCCTTTGCAACTGTTCATCAGATTACAGGAGGACCAAACAGGCTCTCCTGGCATACCCTTGCTGCTAAAAGCTTTCAAGTCGTTTTCTTTAAGAAAGCTGGTCAGCAGAACGCTGTCTTTAGTACTTGCAAGGTTGGCTCCATCATCACTGTTGCCGCTTTGTCATTCACAGACTCCTTTGTGCCTGGCGCCAAGAACAGGACAGCCACAGCCCATGCTGTTAGGGGGGGTCAATATGAGTGGACATAGCTCACCGGTTGGCCCAAACAAGTCCATTTGACCACTGGAAATGGGAGCCGAGAACTCCCCAACCTCTCTGGGCCGATACCCGTTTGAGGCTTGGGCGCCGCATCCTGGGTGGCTTCTCGGGGCAATTTCTATGCCTTGCTGGCATCCTTGCTTTCAGGCGACAGACGCAGGAGTCGCCCCATTCCTCAACGTTGGTGGCTTCTTTTTGTGGACTATGGAAACGAGAAGAATCAGAAGCCGGCAGTAGGTCTTTTGTTTATGCTATCCAAATTGGAAACAATGCCGCCTATTCAGTTGTTTATCTATATGTATGGCATACGTGTTTTGCACATAATGGATGTGTCATTTATTGATATATTTTTGTTGCGGTGTCAAGCAACCGGGGACGACCTCAACTTGGATGATGGAGCCGGTATTGATCTTGTCCTTGTTTCACCCAGTCAGGTGGCTTCCTGTCGCACCAGCGATGCCGGACCCTTCACTCGTTTTGTGTCATTTGTTGCTTCGGCATGGTCTGGTGGAAGGCAGTTTGTTTGACCAGGCTTTATCATCTACTGCTTGGAGTTGTTTTGCTGTGCAGCAAGCTAAGCTTGATTTTTCTTGTGATTGAAGAAACCCGATAAATCGATATTTGCTTTTGTTGGTGGATGGAGGCTCGGTGGCGACTGGCTACTTAGACTCGGCGCTTCTTTCACTGTGCTCACAGCTTCTTGACTCAGAGGGACCCGAGCTGTTCGCGGTCTGGCGCATGGCACGAACACACCGAGGTACAGCTCAAACATGCAGCAGTACTTGCAGATAGGCTGGTCTCAAACACAGCTGGTTTGCGTGGAATGGCTCACAAGTTCAGAGCTCCTGAATGGCTCGCATCGTGTGATTTTCAATCAGCCTATACATGCAAATTAAATTTATGATTTTTTTTTTGTGAAGCAGGTATTGGCTTTGGTACCCTGGTTTCGGTCATTTACCGCGACGCGACCAAGCTGCTTATGTCCCATGACATTGCGGACGCTACATGCGGCTGGCCCAAGCCTGTCAAGAAACATGGAGATCATGTTGGAATATCAGTTACTGTGATCCCCTGGGTTGACTCCTTCGCGAGGTGCCTATTTCAGCATTGCTTTGGTCACAGTCATTGTGTGCATTTTGGCATACAGGCCTCGCTGATCCTCTCGGCTCTTTGCTTTGTGCGCTTGGATCCACGGCTTTCCAGGCTCCTCATGACACTTCCAGTCTCACGGCACGTGACGGACAGAACGGTCAAGACCTCAAGAACCGAGGAGTTAATGCAGTCAGGGTACTTGATGTTCTTCTGGTGTAGCTGAAGGTTGCACGTTTGCAATCTTATGTAATTGTATAACTATATACATATTTTCAGTTTGCATGAAGACCTCTCCAAACCATACTACTAGGAGCGTTCTTGCTAACTCGACCGACTCGGTACCTTTGATGGCCTCAAGGACCTTGACGAGAAGCTGTTGGACAAAGCCTCCCGCTTGGAGTCACCACTGCCATATGCTTGTGGTGCGCCCAAACAGCAGCATAGGGCAGTGTTACCAATTTGCAGAACTGAAACATGTTTTGGCATTGTTTCATGAGATCTACAGTATGACTATGAGTTATGAGAATCATAGAATCCACAAAAAATGTGCATCGGAAGAGAAGACAGGCTTCAGCCCTTGTGGGGCGAAAGACTCTGAGGCGCGCAGTTTCGAGAGCTGAAACTCTTTGGTTCATGATATCTGCAGTATTTTGACGGACCACCGTGGCGAAACCGCTACTGGTAGGATGAGAAACTTAGCACACTATGAACTAGAACCTTGATATTGTCTCGCAGACTTGCTTGAGCTTGCCTACCTTGTGAGGAGTCTGCACTTGGGCCCAGTGACTTCAATTGCGAGGTGCGAGAAGCGAGAAGGTTGTCATCTGTTGACCAAAAGATCAAGGTGACGCAACGGTTTGTTTGCCCCCGGCGCAGTCAATTGGTCAACTTTTCTCTCATATCGATCCACTAATTGAGACTTATTATATATATAAGGTGTGCATGTTGTAAATGAATGTAAATGGATTATTGTGAATTTTTTTATTGGACATGTTTGTCTCGTTTTCCCCTGATTGGACTTTCGATAGACATACATGATGCAAGGAGTGCTACTTACATTTACTTGCAACACCAATGATACACACGTTTAACGTGCATTTCTTTGGGCCTTTTTGGAATGTGTTTGTATCATACATTGATACTCATGGACCTATTTGCTTTTGCAAAGCTCGAGAGGCTGGCACGAGCTTCAGAGCCGTGCTCAAAATGGTGTGGTTTAACCAATTAGCAGCTTGGCATGTGGGACTTCCTGAGAAATGTGCTCAACATGGATAGAAAGCTGAAAGGTCTCATTGTCGAGCAGCCTGTATCTGAGGTGATTTTGCCAATTTCGTGCTCACGTCTTTTTGCTACCCCGGACTCATCACCGCAATTCCTTGTAGGTGCAATGGCACAACATCTCTTGAGGAGTTTTCATGAGCGTTGCTGCATGCTGTATGAGCTGTGGGCAGGCAGATGGAGTGGTTGCGAAGGGGTCACTGGTTTCAGACAATCCTCCTTACAGTCCATGGCTGAGCAAGCCAAAACTAACAATTCTTCAAATTTTTGCAGAACCAACAGCTCCAGCTGAGGTGTTTACATTGTTTGACATTTCAGCCCGATTCATCACGCATATTCGGTTTGGCCTCTACTATGGAAACATCCAGGCCGAGGGTGCCTGCTGTGATGCAAAGGTAATCACGAAAGGTAGCTTGAGCTACCTGAGTTCTCCTTGCTTTAGCAAAAATGTATTACAATCAGGAGTTGGGATTGTGCATTGAATTTGGTCCTGTAAGAGTTGATTCTGTTCGTCGGGGGGGGGGCCCCCCCCCCCCTGGATCAAATCCCCCCTGCGCCGGTTCACGCCATCGTGGACTTCTACCAGGGTTACTTGTGATTGCCTGCTACCTTTCGTTCACCCCCTCCTCTCTCAAGTATTCTGATCCTGATATGATTTGACACTTGACATCCATGCGCCTTGCACACGAACTCGAACTGTTCAAATCGTCGCATGGAACGCACTGTGATCGGAATCCCCGGCTTGCAGTGGACTGCCGTCATACGAGCTATTCTACTTCCTTTGATGATCTATTGTGCCGCCGTTGCCATGGCCTAAGCTTGCGGTCCGGGAAGGTCCCACAGTCCCAAACCCTACGGCGTTTGATTCGGTTTTGCCCTGGGACATATCAAACCAGGTTTCTATATCAAGGATTGAACAGTTGGCAGATGCAGGCAGTTGTGCGCCAAGGAGACAGGTAGCGACCTCCTCTCTATGGCCGTCGTTGCGGCGTTTGGTTTCCTGAACGGATACTGCGCCCGTATCTCAGTCGGAGGTGTTTTCATCCCCAGGTCGCATGCTAGCAATGGAGATCGTGATATTGTATGACGATTTGTTTGTATTACTGAAATTATTTACTGTATCCAACGGTCATCAATCATCGCCTTGATGTGTTAAAGATTCACAACTTGCAGCCTGCGCAATGCCAGCCTCATAGGCGTCCTTGAGCCTGATCGTCATCAATGAAATCCCCAGCCTAAGCACCGAGCAGCTGAAGACGTGTGGACGAATTTCCGTTGGCGGACCCAGTTGAACAGTACACATCACATCATAGCATTATTCTAAAATATTCCCTGTAGATATCCCAAAAACCGGGGGGTCCTAAAATAGAAGACATGAACTATATACTTATATAATTTATACTAAGTTATCATCTTTCTTTAGGAGCTTTTGCATGGCACCTCGTAGCTATTATTTTCGTAAGTTGAACTCTGCCTCCTTTGCAGTGGCAATGTAGTGGTGTCATATAAAGGAACTGGAGTAGCTCACCCTTGATTTTATAGAGAATGTAGGCTTCATAGAAACTTGGGAGTTCGTCCACCTGAAAGCTTCCTTATTCAAGATACTTGTACTTTTGGGCTTCCTTGACAGCTAGCCACCAAGCTCTTGATGGAGGAGAGGGAGGAGATCCACTTTCCCCTGCTTGGGCAAGTTGTTTTGAACTGGAGAAAGCAAGGGCAAATGACTGGGGGTGCGATCTTGAGGGCAAAGTTCCATTTGAGGGGAAGTTCTGCAATTTTACAGAGGGGAAGTTCTGCAAGATTCATGGTGGCTGCACGGATTCGGGTGTATAGATTATGCCCCTGTGGCGTCCCCTTTGAGATAAAGACTAGGCTTCGTCCACACTAGGCTTCTGATGTTTTTGGACAGTTGTTTGTGATAAAGACAGGACTGGCATAGAGACCGTGCTAAGGAGTCTGTTTCAGAAAGCCTCAAATCGAGTGCCTCGCATGTCTCTTTGTTCGGGGCATGACCGCATGTTTCGTTCGGATCGGGCTGGTGTTATCCCAAGTCTTTGGCTCGGTCATGTACCCGCTATCCACTGTTCTCAATGACGCCCCACCCATTTCTCACATGAATCTGTTGGAGCTTGGGACGTCAGAGGGTCACATGCTGTCACATGCTGAAACCCTGTACAATCGCTTTGTACATGATTCAGATGAATCTTTGCATGCAATTCAGGCCTGCTCTGTGAACATTGGCAGTTGTCTCAGCTCCAGAAACTGGTGAATTTGGCTGGCTGTCTTCTTCAAACGGAAAACAACCGCCGTGACTTACCTTGGACATTGCGAGGCCTTTGCGTAGGCTCACTTGGGGCCTCTGCCTTGGCCAGTGCCCTCTTGAAAGCAAACTAGTCGCCTTGCCAGCACTGTAAAGTTGCAGCTTTAAACGCGCGACATGCAAGTGCTTCAGTAGAATGTTCAAGACATTTTAAGACTCTTTGCTGCCGCAATGCAGCTGAAGATGATCTAATTCTGCGACCACGACGGTTGATGAAGTGAAAAGAGCATGGAGGAAGAGATGTCCTTTGGGCCTTTATCAGCAACTCGAACCATGGCCACCCACCATCACAATCATTTGTCGTCGCCATTTAATCCCAGATTTGAATGTAGTCATACCATGGAGAAATAACCGGCCAGGTGCTGCCGACGTGGCACACAGTCTTTCAATCTACAGAATCTATAAGCAAAGTAAGATGGCTTTTCAACTAGACATTCACAACCCTTCTGCTTGCAAGTAGATAATACAGGATTCAGCTAGGACGCTCTAGGACTCAGCATGCTGTCACCCGCATGCACCGTGAAGTTGAATGTTCAGCATGCGGTCATGGCGATATGTTATACAGCTTGCAGAGAATGAGGCCGGTGAAGTTTCAATTTGTTGCTGAGTTGATTTCCTTCGGATCGTTTGTGGTGCCCAGGAGATATGTATCGTCAATCATTAATCGATTGCCGGTTGTCTTGTTTCTTCTCCGCAAAACATGACGGCCCGACCCCTTTGACATTTGACAAGTCTGGACTCAATTGGGCCCATCAAACTTAGCCATTTCATCTCCCCACAAAAAGTTGCCCAATACCAGGGAATATGCAATTACCAGGCCAGGGATATTCAGGATATTCACCCTGAATGTAATCTACACTAATTTCACCAGCATTATGTATCTCCAGAACTTTCGCTGCTTCGCTTGTTGGTCGTTTTCTTGTCCAGTCCTTCTCCTTTCCCATTCTTGTCCCATTCCTTTGCTGTTTCTTCCTTTCAAAATGTCTGAAGAAATCATTGGATGTGTCCTTCAATTCTTTCCAAGAAATACCTCTTTGACAAGGTGCTGATGAGCCCTTGTTCCTATTGAAGGCTATCCGTTGCCAAAAAACTCCGTAGAATGCTTCAGCTTTGTCTGTTTGAAAATGACCATCTGCAGGTGATGCAGATGGATCATGACAGAGCAGGCAGCACCTCCAGACTTTGCAGATGGTGCCCCAAGAGTTTGTCCTGTTGATCCAGCCGGTAGGACTGTTGCTCAGGTAGGTCTCAAGATCATCACTTTGTCTCCACTTGAAATCCATTTCTCTCAGACTAGAATACGGCCAGGCCCCAAGCATGTGATCCAATAAATGACTTTGGTCATTAAGCACACCGATAGAGCACTGATCCTGAAGTCAAAATGGTTTGCACAATTGATATAATATGATTAATGCATTCCCATTTCTTGTCCAAATCGTTTCAATTGAACCGGCAGCTGGCTCAGGTCCGAATTTCAAGATGGCCGTAGCTTGCAGATGGCCCTGGACAAGATTGAGGCCCCAAGAACTTTCTCCACTCCAGACTTTTGCATGGCTTGCAGCTGCCATGGAGGACAAAGAAGTGAACTTCGATGAGGATGCCCTTTTGCTGGTCACTCCTTTTCCACGAATTGAAGTGACGAGGTGCGGCCCGTGGTCACTTCGTGATGAGGAACCTGGGCGGGGTAGGCCGCTAGGAGGTCGCTAGGGAGTCGCTAGTAGCTTACTTAAGCTTCTAGCAAACAGGACGCAGGATAGCGAAGGCCTTCTTCAAGGAAACTCCCCCAGGGCCGCGGGGGAAGCTTCCTTGAAGAAGCGCTCGCACTAATGATTTGGTTCCTAGATTTTAAGGGAAACTTAAGGTTAAAGAAAGTCAGATTCACTTAAGCCTGAAACCTTCGTGGTCGCACCTGCCCTGCACCCGGCACAGGTGGCGCTGCAAGCTTCGTGATGAAACGGGCGCAGCTCGGGTCGATGCGAATGGCATGGAATTGTACAGCCAGGAGGCATGGAGATGTTGGACTGAGTCTTAGGCAGAGATGGCTTCAACATCTGCAACTCCAAGCAAAACAGCAATAGTCTTTGGAGACTGGACTGGACTCCAACTTTTGGTTTTTGTCGGTGTGAGTCCAGTCATGCTCTGATTCATCAAGAAGTAGAGGAGTCCTCTGGTTTGCTCTGCTTCCAGACATGCTTCCGACTTCAGCAAACCGTGGAGGAACGGTGGTTTAGCTTTGACAATCGCCGCTTGTGGTGCTTGCAGCAAAGCCCTCAGGCAAACAACAGCTATGGCCATCCCCTAAGCAAGAGACAAATGGGCGCATGGGAAATAGTTCGACCAGCAGCATGAGGATCAGGAAGGAAAATCGACCTGTACAATCTTGTCCACACCAAAAGGGGACTCAAAGTTGGCAACTGTTGGCAACTGAGTGCTCGAGGCTTTGTTCGCAAGAAAACTGGCACCTATTTTGTGCCACAACTAGGACACTGCTAAAGGAGGGTTTGTATTTGCGTGAAATTGTGTTCAGTTCCGTGTCACTAGACTGAGGCGCGCTGCTGTGAAGAAGTGGCCGAAGAAGGTGCTTTACATTGCCGAAGAAGGAAGAGTGTGGCAATGTGTTCTAAAACCATGTCAAACCATTCATGCATGGGAAAGTCATTGGTTCAGCGTCGAGACAACATGCATGGCTTAAATTAATTTACTACCAGTTTCTCCATTCATCATTGTCTTTTTCATCATTTTGTTGACGGATCCTTCTTGCTTCAGCCTTAAAGCACGACAACAGCAGTGCTAAGCGTAGAACACTTAACTCATGGACCGGCCCCTGATTTCAAGTAGGCTTTATGAACCACGAAAAGGTGAATTGGGAATGCTTTGGATGAATTTGGGTTCTTTCATTTCGATTTGCAAAGTTTGACGATCGAAGGTTTACTGCGAAGTGTTTGAGATCTCCCAGACCTTGGCAAAGACCCGAGAGCTTCGGAAGTTTGACACTCGCACCTTTGGGTGCGGAGCCAAAATGAGGGCCTCTTTTCAGAGCAGGTGTCGTTTCCAGCATTGAACAGGCGCCCTCTTTGCCCCCAGGCTCAGTGTGTTGGTTGGGCGAAGAGAAGAGCTAAACCTGGAGAAGTGGTGCTGGAAGACTGAGGAGCCGACGTGACATGGACCTGACGCGCGCTGTGAATGCAGGATGGTGCAACTATGTGCAACCCAAACTGGTGTTATGATTGTTATGGTGCGTTATGTCATACTGTAGATGTCATAGTAAGAGAAACAGATGGCAACACACAATGAAGTGGTGTGGACGGTGTTGCTTACTCACTGCTTAAAGAATGCGTGCTTGCTGGTACAGAAGCAAAGCTGGTCGTGCCCTTGGTCAAGGCTTCTGTCAAAAGGGTTAGCTTAGGCTTGGCCACACTTAGCGTTCACCAACATGCTGATCTGGAAGTTGCTTCAAAGTGCAACCATCACCCCGTGTTTAGAAACTTTAGCTACTTCTAGTCTAAGTCTAAAGGCGCCTGGGATGCGTGGTGGTGACACACTTGGCAGTTGCTTGTTGACCAAGCACGCAGTGAGGCACCTGAAGCCTCTTAGACTCATGACTTTTTAGGTAGAGGGAGTCTGGCGCGCCATGCCTCTGGCTGTGATGAAGGTGCTTTGCTTCTTGACATTGTGTGTGGGCTGTATCCGTGCGCTCTGCTCAAGCTCCAGCTTTTTTTGACCGGGCTCCCTCAACAGCCTGTGCGCTATGCTCAGCCTGGCTGGGCGTGAACCAGGGCCTTCACCTACCAAAGCCTGTATTCCTCCATGTGTCCTGTCCATGCGTGTTTGCTTTTTGCACTCCCCGCTTTCCTGCTTTTTTCTGCCTGCCTTCGTTGAGGATGTGGTTGGGGTCTCCGGTAAGAGGACTTGAGACACCAATGATCTATTCACTGGCACTTGCGTGCCAGGTGGGCTTGCCTGTGGAAACTGCTCCTGAGGAAGGGGTCGAGGGCTCACTAAGCCAATCTGTAATTTGAAACATTGAAGACATCACACCCCAAGTCACTCACATGGAGGTGGAAAACGACCTGTTTGTAGAGGAAGCTGGTCCTCCAACGTGCCATACTGGCCCTTTTTTCGCCTCCGTTTCAGGGAGTGTCATAGGGACTCCAGCAAGCTGAAAAGACTTTCCAAAGGAAGTGGCCTTACCAAGAGAGGTTGAACAGCCCCTATAGCCCATCCCATATGTACCACTACAGTGTCCTATATGGTCTTTCAACCTCTGTTGGTACCCGGGATTTTCGGGCCGAGGTGGCCTTGTCCGCTTTGCGGCAACGCAAGGGCCTTGAGACGGAGCGAGGACTGAGCTCTGACGTTTCGATGCTGATGAGTCTGTGTTTCATGGTGTTTCGAGGTCGACGCACGGCTTCTGTTTGCAAAAGTGACTGAGTAGGACAGATATCCTGGAGGCACCAGCGCAAATCCAGGTGGATTTCTTGGGTTCGGTTGGGAGTGCTCGTGTGTTCATTTTTACTCAGCAAATGGGCTTGATTGGCATAGGGGTTGCTTGCATGCATCAAGTGAAGTGCAAAGTATGGATTTTTGGTTCGCCAATTAGCTACTTTGGAACTCCTGCATGGCAATACATGTTTGCCTCATGCTTGCTGCCATAAGCAAGAGCTCAAACAACTTCCTGGTCCTGTGCTTCACGTTTGATATCAGAGAAGTTATTCATTCAGAATCATATTGGAGGCGCCATGAGGATGAGTATGAAGAGACGCAGAAATTCTCTGCTTTGGAAATCCTGCGTGGATTGCTGTTGCTCTTGCATGTTTGGGGCTCACACAACTCAAAGAATCCTGATGTGGCAGCAAAATTGTTCCCAATCATTGCACTCAAGCTGCCTCCAGCCCAAGTTTGTGTGAGTCCATGGCAGGCTATTCATGATTATTTACCTTGGTCTTCGCGTATGCGTAATCCTTTTCCAGATGCTTGGCAACACGAGCTGGTTATAAGATGTTATAAGCCTGGTTGTGATGCACTTGTCACTCAGAGATCCTCATAGCTGAGGAAGTACAGATTGAATATGAGCATGTCTTCGAATTCCACTGTGGCAGCCCAAAGCGTGGAGTTCAGCAAGCCCAGACTCAGTGGGATCTCGAGGTCGGGGTTAACATCAGCCTGTGAGTGGGTTGAAAGACCTCCTTATCCAGTGAATTCATGCTCAGCGCTGCTTCCAGCGCTTGGTCTTGAGTCGTAGTCTCGCGCGTGAAATGGCACACTGCCCGTCCTTGCCCAAGGCATGGACGGGCGACGCGAGCGACGCGGGCGACGTGCGTTTGGCTCAAAATAGAACCCAGTGCACTGCAAGGTTGTTGTCTCAAAATAGAACTCACGTCACGACCACGAGTTCTTTGATTGACAATACTTGAATCACAATCACTTGGGCAGTCCATGTGCAGATGAAGACCGAGAGTGCAACGAAACTAAACCTAAATCTGTGAGGAATTTTGGCTGCGCTTCACGCATTGGTTGATATATGCTTGCGAGGGTTCTTGCGTGTGATGAACTTGGAGTGGCCTAAGTATATACTTGTACAATACAAACATATTCCTGTTTTGTGGGTGGAAGCCTTGTTTGAGCTCAAGTATATTGTCATTGCTGAAGACAGACATTATTATTCAGAAAAGCTCTACCTGTACGTCCAAACCGAAAGACACTTGATGAAGCGAAAATGTACGCGTGCGCCTGTGTAGCTGAGAAGAGAAAGCTTTAGCACTGTAAGATGTCATTGATGTTTACATCGTCTCTAGAATGCTGTAACTATCTATGCCTGACTTATGCAAACATTTGTACTGAGCATGGTCTGGTGGCACAACACCAGCTAAGATGGCAATAGCTACACTGGGCTACACCTGAAGTATTCAAACACATGACTGCCTTTGAGACAATGGGCTTTCGCCAAAAACCTTGTGACTCACAGGCTCGCTGACTTCTTTTTGGTGAGGCATGCGAAGGCCCAATGCCTAAGGCTATATTTTTGGATGTTTATCGTGGGTCCAAAGCTTATTCTGGTACAAGGAAGCAAGTTCTCCAAGTATCAACTCCAGGCGATGCCTGAAAACGACAAACCGGCACCGGCTGCCGTGTTCACGCCACACAAATCCGAAAGCTTCAGGCGATCTTCCTCTCCAAGCGTGTGAAAGCCCTCGCAGGAAGTCGAATCGAAATCCCAGCACCTGGACCGCCCAACCTGGACCGTGAGGAGCGTACGTGCGAGTGGTGAGCAACGTGCGGCGCGCGGGTGGTTTTTCTTGCTGCAGACAAAAGACGCTTCTTGTTACTACTAGCTTCTTGTTACTACTAGTAAGGCACCTGTTACTACTAGCGTGGCACTTGTTACTACTAGCTTTTTGTTACTACTAGTAAGGCACCTGTTACTACTAGCGTGGCACTTGTTACTAGTAGCTTCTTGTTACTACTAGTAAGGCACCTGTTACTACTAGCGTGGCACTTGTTGCTACTAGCTTCTTGTTACTACTAGTAAGGCACCTGTTACTACTAGCG